GCTAGGAATCAACTGGAATACTCCCAAATCATTGGCTCGCTGATGTACCTGGCTAGTGCAACTAGGCCTGATATCTCCTTTGCTGTGAGCAAGTTGAGCCGATTTACCTCTAATCCGGGAGATGATCATTGGCGTGCGCTTGAGCGAGTAATGCGCTATCTGAAAGGTACTATAGAATTGGGGCTTCACTATACTGGGTATCCTGCGGTATTGGAGGGTTATAGTGATTCTAACTGGATCTCTGATGTGGATGAGATCAAAGCCACTAGTGGATATGTCTTTACACTGGGTGGTGGTGCTGTTTCGTGGAGGTCTTGCAAACAGACCATTTTGACGAGGTCAACCATGGAAGCAGAACTGACGGCATTGGATACTGCTACTGATGAGGCAGAATGGCTGCGTGATCTATTAATGGATCTGCCTATTGTTGAAAAACCGGTGCTGGCTATCCTTATGAACTGTGACAATCAAACGGTAATTGTCAAAGTGAATAGTTCTAAGGATAATATAAAATCGTCTAGACATGTGAAAAGACGATTAAAGACTGTCAGGAAATTGAGAAAACTCCAGAGTTATAACGTTGGATTACATCCAAACAGCTAGAAACCTGGCAGATCCCTTCACGAAGGGACTATCACGAAATGTGATAGACAATGCATCGAAGGAGATGGGTTTAAGACCCATGTGAGTTATACTATGGTGGTAACCCAGTATATGTGATCGGAGATCCCGTGAATTAGAACCTGGGAAGAACAAACCATTAGTAAACTAGAGGAGAGTACCAATCTATACCCTCTCTAAGTGAAGATGCATGTACTCTCGTGAGCTGCAAGGCAGGTTAGCTATGCCTTAATGAGTTATATTGGCTTTAATTAGCGAAGATGCTGTCCTGCAGAGTATTCTTGAAAGAACTCACCTTTGTAAGCTTGATTGTTGGTCGCAGTCTATGGAGATTTTGGGTGAATCTTCTAGGAAGCTTACTAAAGACCTAGGAGTATGACTTATATGCTCCACCCGAGGGGTAGTCTACAGACGGTCTAGTACCAGATAAGACTCTGAGTGAAACTTGCTTGCACAAGACTTGCAATTCAAGGCGTAGTCCATTGTTCAAGTTGTGAGTAAGTGTAGCTTGGAGTTCTAGGTGGATGTTCAACCTTAATCGGTCTCCATCGAACCGCTGGTATATAAACAGTACATTGGAAAAGGCAAATCTCAGTGGGATTTTGAGATTTGGTGGGGGATTGTTGGAATTAATAGATGGGCTAAGGCCCATTCGAAGATTAATTCTTTGGGAAATCACAAAAGCCCACCTCATGGGATGGCATGCATGTGGAGTTTAGTACTACCTTGTTTATTCTAGGAGAGGGGGACCTCCTTAAAAGGGAGGATGCCCTCCTAGCCACTTGAAGCATGTGTGGTGGAGAGAAGAGGGGAAACACACGTGCGCGCTCGCTCGCCTGGCCTGACCTGGCAGGGCAGGCGGCGCGCGTGCATGACGTACGCGTCGAATGGTCCACAAAATTGGCTCATCACCCTTGCGCAGATGCAGCCTCCTTTTGCAGCTTTGTTTTGCTGCAGGAAATTCGGATTTGTTTTATTTTGGAAACACTCCGAAAAATCCGGTGCGTGCAAACGGCGTGGAGTCCGGATAGGTTACGCGCGACTTATCCGGTTCGGTTTACGCGGGCGCCCTGATCAGGCGACCTATCTCTATATAAACCGAGCAGCCACCTTCACGCAACACACGCGAAATCAATCTAGGGTTTGCCTCCTACTCTGTACTACACCGTCGCTCGTAGACTACTCCATCCCGCTCGCCGGCGTGCACCGGCGATCGGGAGAGCAGGTCTCCGGAACCTCTGCCTTCGACGTCCTGCACCGGGAGAAGGCGGCAATAAGGTTTTTGGGAAGCGCTTCGCGCGACTGCTCCCTGTTCGTCCGCGACGGCTCGCCTTCCTCTCCGCTCGTGTGCTTCGCGCCTTCGTCGACGCTCGCAACCGCGAGTAGTTCCTACCGAGCAACCGGTCTTTCCGCTATCTCGGTACTTGTTCGACATGTTGCGCATATTTGATATGTTCATGTTTTACTGCTTAGTTTACATGTGTAGATCTAATGGTGTGTTCAATTTAGTTTACATCTGTAATGTCATGATTTATTTATGAAATAAATTAAATCATTATGTGCCTATAATTTCAACAATTACAATCACGCGGGCAAAAAACTAAACTTGCAAGTACGAAAAGACGAGGCGATGATGTTCTTCACTTCAAACAGCAGAGTCCCCAACGGCGCCAACTGAAGATCTACTCCCTTCAGGGCCTGAATAAGCATCATAAATCAGACTCCAAATGAATGTGAGCCATGCCCAAACTAGCAGCAGCTTTTAGCCCCTTAACTCCCGCTAGCACTTCCGCGTGAAAGGCATCCTGGAGCCGTGACGAAAAACCTGCTCCTGCCTGTATTACTTGCGCTTCAGAATCCCTGATCACAAAACCCCAACCTCCCTTTTGTTCCTGTGGCTTGAAGGCTCCATCCACATTAATTTTCAGGACATTTCCTGTAGGTCTAGCCCATTTTCTATTTGATCTATCTGCTTGACCACTCCCCCATTGAGGCGCCAAATCCTTGAATTCATCTGCTTGTTTCTGTACGGAGAAAGCCAGGATACTAGCTCCCCTTCTTCCTTCACCCTCCCTGCGTCCGTTTCTCTCATTCCAACATGAGTACAGCAGAACAATGGCATGTATCCTTTGTTTTTCTTCCAGCTCCAGTATAGCCTGTAAAACTGCCAAAGCTGACTGCACCACTGCTAACTTGCATCTTACTTCTTCAAGGTTAAGGTCTCCCCATATGTGTTTGACCTCTTTGCATTTAAAAAAGAAATGGCTCCCGTCTTCATCCATCCGGTTACTGATCAAACATTTGGTATCAATATCCATTCCCCTTCTCTTGAGAGTCATCCGTAGGGCAATTGCGTCATGCCCCAATCGCCACATGAAGTGTTTCATCTTGTTCGGACAGTTAAGCTTCCAAAGTCTTTTCCATACTTGATCACTTTGTGCACCCCGCGACGAAGATGCAGGTGTCCTTCTACTGTTTCTTCTCTCCATTTCTTTCTGCACTTTGTAGGCAGATTTCACAGAAAAAAGAGGCCCCTTTTATCATAATGCCACCCCACTGCATCATCCCTGTCCACTTGAACCGGAATTGACAAAATGGCCTTGACATTTTCTTCACAGAAAGTTTGCCTAACCAGCATCTCATCCCAATCGCCCGTATAAGGATCTATCAATTCATTTACTCTTGTTAGCAGGTTCGTGCCCTTATTTGAAACAGTTTTCCTCGTCCAGTCTCTAGGGATCCAGGGATCATCCCAAATGCCGATGGAATTGCCATTGCCCACTCGCCAAATCATGACAGTCTTCAGAGTCTGCAGCCCTTTTAGTATGCTGCTCCATGTATATGACATGCCCGATCTTGGTTTAGCTTGCAGAATTGATCCAGATGGATAGTACTTGGCCTTCGGAATCTGAGCACACAGAGAATCAGGCTCCTGAAGCAGCCGCCAACATTGCTTTGCTAGCATAGCCATATTAAAAACATTTATATCTCTAAAACCAAGTCATCCCTCTCCTTTTGGTTTCGTTAGCTTCTCCCAACTTAGCCAGTGCATCTTGTTCTCCTTCTCCTGATTGTTCCACCGGAATTTTCCTATCATTGAACTAATTTGATCAGCAATACTTTTTGTGATATCAAAGCAGGCCATAGCAAAAGTTGGGATAGCCTGCGCAACGGCTTTAATCAGTATTTCCTTCCCTGCTCTTGATAACATCTTCTCCTTCCACCCTTGAATCCTTTTCCAGATTCTATCCTTCAGATATGCAAACACCTTCGTTTTATCTCTTCCCACAAACACCGGGAGACCAAGATATCTCTCATTCATTGTTTGCTTATTTATTTGTAAAGTCTGCATAACTTCCCTTCTCTTCTCACTTCCTGTGTTTGAACTAAACATGATCGCGAACTTCTCCTTGTTTAGCATTTGCCCCGAAAACTCCTCATACAAAGTTAAAATATTTTGCAGATTCTGTGCATCCCCTCTGTTTGCGCGACACGGGATGAGAGAGTCGTCGGCAAACAGCAGGTGAGAAACACTTGTAGCATTGTGGCAAACTTTTATACCTTGCAGCCTTCCTTCCTCCTCTGTTTTCCTCAACAGAGCAGAGAATCCTTCAGCACATAACAAGAACAGATAAGCAGAGAATCCTACCGGGAGAGAAAACCTCCGACAAATCACCATTCACCTTAATTTTATACGACACCGAAGTAACACAGTGCATGACTAGGTTTATCCATTCCGCATTGAAGCCCAGCCACAGCATCATATCCCGCAGAAAGCTCCACTCAACCCGGTCATATGCTTTACTCATATCTAATTTGATTGCTGCGTAGCCCATCTTTCCCCTCTTTTTACTTCTCATGTAGTGAGTCATCTCATATGCTACCAAAATATTGTCTGAAATAAGTCTCCCTGGAACAAATGCACTTTGGGTTGGAGAGATCACCTCTGGCAGGATCGTCTTTAGCCGGTTAGCCAGCACCTTCGATACAATTTTATACAACACATTGCATAGACTTATTGGTCTTAAGTCCTTGATATTCTCCGGCTTCGGAACTTTAGGGATCAACACTATGATTGTTTCATTCCACTCTGGTGGCATGGGTGCTCCCCTGAGAACAGCTAGAGTGATTTAATGGCCACACATTCCCATCCGTCGCAATCGATGAATTCTAAAATCCTTGATCTTATCGCAGGTTTTTCGATCTGATTCAGAATCTGCAATTGGTACAAATGAATATCTTCATATTGATGAAGATATCACTAGAATCTTAAAATGTTTGTAGAAGTTATTGAACTTTTCGGAAATGAATACATGCGATCCAATAATTATATAACGAATTATGATAGTGCTAGATTACTTGCAACTGAACAACAGAGGTTTTTCCAAAATGGTAGAAAGCATGCGTTAGAAGTAGAAAATTTGCACTCAGGCTTAGTTCATACATCACAAATATGTCCATGCATCACAGGAGTTCATGCAATAAATAGGTCATATAACAAATAGTTCACACAGCAAGTAGCTCATACGACAGATAGTTCATACGATAAGCAGGCCATCAACACAACAAGTAGTGCAGCTCAACCTGATCGTCGAGCCATGATCTCACCCTGCAACCTCAAGTAGTATTCTCTTAGTTGCCCAGTCATATCACTAAGGTCCATGTTCATAATTCTCTCATCCCGCTGGTTTCTCTTGAATTCCAATAAATTCCTCTCGTATTCTAACTTCTGTCTTTCTAGTGCCAATCTCTCTTTTTGTAATGACAATAACTTTTCATGGCGCTCATCTTTCCCGGCCTCCTTTATAGCATCAAGCTCTCTCTTCTTAGACCACATACTATCCAATACTGCAATGAAAGGATTACTTTCATTCGTAGAGGAAGTGTTTTCACTTGTAGTTTCACCTGTAAAAGCCTGAGTAATCTGCACAAAGAATAATGTTTTATTAAACTTGCACGTAACAAATAAAGCTACAAGAACACATTTTTTTTCTCTATCGTCCCGCTTTGCATTCTATAGTAAAATCCATTCATAAGTCGTAATAACTGCAAAATCTATTAAACTGTACTTGAATAGTTTTCCAACTGTTGGCTAGAAAATTTTGATTATGCACTGATGGAAAGTTCTTGTTATCATGGAAGTACCGATGAATCCTCGCCCGGTAAGAATCACTGGTTTGCTCGTTCCCTAATTGTATTCAGCCAAGCCAACACCAACAAATTGTCTTCTTTCTCAGAGAAATTCTTTGATCTTTTGTTGTTTGGCCTCATGGATATAGTAGCTTCTTCCAGTAGCTGTGGTTACTGGTTCCTCTCTCGGTGCCACCCCGGCCACCGCCTCCGCCACATCCACCTCTCCACCTCCTTGCCATTGATGCGCATGGCTGCTCGGCCTAGTCCACCTCCCCATGCCCGTCCCCGCTGTTGAGCTGGAAGAGGAACAAGAACGGAAGGACAGCGCCACAACTTCCCCTCCACTGCGACTAGAGTTCTGAGATGGATACGCTCCTGGAGCGAACAGAATTCACGCATGGAGACAGCCATTACTGGCTACGGTGCACTAGCTTGCAGTTAACAGCTCATTGGAGCTTACTCGCAGTAGCAACAGGCGTCTCTGCAACTGCAAGAGCTTCTATAACTACAGAACAGCTGAACCACCTAAACTGTGCAAATGGCATCAATTGGTAATCCTATGAATTTGGCCGCAATTGATTATGCGTGTCTCATAAATCTACTTGGCGCATATCAAACGATTCAACATTCTGCAACCGCAAGAGCTTCTATAACTACAGTACAGCTGAACCACCTAAACTGTGCAATTGGCATCAATAAAATTAAGGAAATGGGACCATGTATAATCATATGGATTTGGCTGCAATTGACTCTGCGGATCTCATAAATCTACTTGGTGCACATCAAAGGATAACATTCTGCAACTGCAAGAGCTTGCATAACCACAGAACAGCTAAAACCACCCATACCGTGCAAATGGCATCAATAAAACTAAAGCAAGTGTGTGTGTGTGTGTGTGTGTGGGGGGGGGGGGGGGCATGTATAGCCCTATGAAATTTAGCCGCAATCGATTCTTTTTGCACATCTCATCAATCAATAGGTTGGCGCATCTCTAACGATTCATTTAACATTGTAAGAAACCACAAGCTGAGATCCAGCCCAACCAAATTTCTAGGGCTTGAACGAACGAACATACCACTTCTCGATCTATATCTGGAAGCGGAAACCGCAGACCCAAACGTGGAGAAAGCAAAGCGAGGCGAAGCACGCACCTCGTCGTCGGAGGCGATGCGGCGGCGGCGGGTGGGCCTCGACGCGGAGCCGTCAGCGTCGAAGAGCTGCCGCTTCGCCGTGGGTGTACCGGACCCGGACCCGGGCCCTTCCCCGTCGCCCTCCTCCACGGAGTTTTCGCCGCCGCCGCCGCCGCTCCCAGTCCCATCCGACGATGAGGCCGGCGGCGAGGGCTCCTCGGGGTCGGCGGGGCTGAGGCGGCGCTCGCCGGGAAGGGGCCCGCCTGCGTCGCCCATGGGGGAGGAGCGATTTGCGATGCGTGAGGTTTTTTTTTTTTCTTTTTGGGATTCCTTTGCGATTCGTGAGTTGCGCGAGTTTGTTGCGAGTGGTAGAGAGCGGAAGCGAGACTTTCCGCGGGATTCTCGCCTAATTTTGGTCTCCAAATTTTGGTTTCGAGGCGGGAAGAAAAAAATGATTCCGAATGAAATTTCAAACGGTTTTCAAGAATATAAATTTAAAACAGTAAGATTTGATTGTAATTTGGACAAATTCGGCGAATAATATAATACTGCCGGGGTCATAATGTAACACTAAAAAAAAAAGTGAACCCTGCCTGCCCTGAGTCATGATTTACTTTGTACCAGATAGGATACACTCTATGTTGTTTTGCACCCCATTTTTTCACTGTGATACATTGTCAAGCCTATATAAATTTCCATGTAAGTTCATAATCTAAATGAAACTTGGTGAAACGTAGCGTAAGTTCATGAAGTCTTATAAGTTCCATTCATATTTTATTATGTATCCTTTCAGTTATACGACTGCAACATAGTGTAAGTAAAACTTATATAGATATTATATTATTAAAGGAATAGAAAAAGGAGCCTCCACGTTCGTTCTCACGGCTTAGAAATTCTCATATTAATCAGAAAAAAAGAAAAATAGAGTCAATATAGAAATACAATTTACAAATAGTTGAAATTCGGAATTAAAAAAATAAGGAATATTAGAAAAGGAGACTAGAGTCCATATAGAAATATAATTAAGAAATAATAGAAATTCGGAATTAAAAATAAGGAATATTAGAAGTAGAGTATAGAGTCCATATAGAAATACAATTAAGAAATAATAGATAAGTACCCTAGCCGCTACAGGGCATTCTTCTACTGCAATGCAGCAAGCTTCATGGCATCCGTGGCTCTGATCGTCCTTCTTATGAACAAGAATTTGTATCGGCCAGGCATCCGGAGCTATGCCCTCATTATCTGCATGGTAGCAGGCATGTTCGGGGTCATGGGTGCCTACGCTACTGGAAGCTCCATGTATTTACGTACCTTCATCATTGTATTGGTATTGGTTCTTGTGGCTTTTGTAGGTGTAGTCTTTCTAGCCATCAACCATTTCAACAAACTTCATAAGAAGAAGATGGAGAAGAACAAACGACAACCAGCACAACAACAACAACCACCGAGCCCCAAAAAGTCCTCCTTAACAACGTTTGCGATGCAAAAAGACATGCTCAAGTACTTGATGCTGGTAGGGATATTAGCAGCAACCGCCACCTACCTGACGGGCCTGAAACCCCCTGGCGGCCTGTGGAAGGACAACGATGATGGACACTCCGCCGGCAATCCGGTCCTCTATGATATCGACAAGAAGCGGTACAACATTTTCTTCTATAGCAACTCCACTTACTTCATGGCTTCCATCACCGTCATTGTGTTGCTGCTCCAAAGGATGGTGTTGCCTGAGAGGAGCGGCGGAAAGGTTTTTTGGTCGATGCACACGGTCATGCTGCTAGACATGCTCGCTCTTATGGTAGCCTATGCGGCAGGCAGCGTTCTGGACTGGGAGACGTCGAAGAATGTCTTCCTACTGCTCCTCCCCGTACATATCTTTGTTGGGGGTTTGCTCTTCATATGCAAGCAAATACAACCTTCACCACAAGATGAGGCCGGCCCAAATGCTGGGGCTAACACCCAGGAGATTTCAAATCCTACCCCTTCAAGTTAGAAGATATTTGATAGAAGTTGTGTTATGGTCATTTGTTTGTTTAAGTTTTTTTTCCAAGTTGGAGTCGACGATGTGTGTGCGTCGACATATCAAGTTGTTTGTTCTACGATGTATTCTTTAGTGCCCGCGCATTTGCATGGTTGGTATCAATAATGTAACTTTGCATGTACCATTGTATATTTCAACTTTATTATTAATAATTTGTAATTTATCTTACCACCACTCTACTTTTGTAATAGACCCAAAATTTTTAAAACTTAAAGTTCGAATTATGGGCAATAAAATGGGTGTCTGTAGCGCCCGCTCCGTCGTGGCGCCTAGCGGGAAAATTATCTCTTAAAAACCCTAATTGCAAAATTTGTTTCTTTGCTTGTTGTCTAGTGTCCGTGCCATCTCAGATCTCAATCCCCGATCTATCGTCGAGTCCAATTCCGAATCCAAATCCTTCCAAATCAAATCCCTCCGCAAAAGTCTATTTTGCCTCCCCCGGGGTCGATGGGCCGAATCCCTCTCGGCCCATCTCCCCCTCCCTCCCGGCGTTCTCTCTCTCTCTCTCTCCTCCCTCCCCCTCCGCTCTGCCCGCGCGCGTGCGCGTGAGCCGCCCGCGCCGAGCCGAGTCCTCCCTCTCCGCTCCCTCGCTGCCGCTTCCCGCGCGCCGTGTTCGCGTGCGCACGCCCGCATGGTCGCCGCCCTTGCCGCGCCTGCGCCGTCTGTGCCGCCTGGCTCCGCTGCCCTGCCGCGCAGCCACCCGGCCCCGCTAGCCAGCGCGCGTGCCCGAGCCGCGCCGCTCAAACCGCCGCGCCGCCCGTTGCTTCCCGCGCGCGCGTGCCGCGGTGGCCGACCGCCTGGTCGCCGCCGTCGTCAGCGCCTGCCGCGCCTGTCGCTCGTGTCGCTGCTCCGCTCCACACCGCCCCGCCGTCATCGCCGTCGTCATCGCCCGGCCCCCGCCACTCCGCGCGCTAGCCTCCAAGGGGCGGAGGCAGAGCGCCCTCCTCCCTCTGCCGCGACGCCCCCGCCCCCCTCTTCCTTTTCCCAAAGAGGCAAGGGGCAAGCCCCCCTTTTCTCTCCCTCTTTTCCCCTTTTTCCTCCCGCCGGCGTCATCCTCCTCCCTCCTCCCTGTCGCCGCTTTGGCCGCGACCGCCGAGCGCTAGCCCTCTCCTTTGACCGCCTTAGGTCGGTTCCCAAACCGATATTGCCGCCCTTAAAACCCAGCTTCCCCCCTTTCCCTTCCTCTCCCATTCGCCTCCACGCCATTGCCGCCGCCTCCCGTGCTCTGTTCGCCGTCGCCGTTCGTCGTTGCGCGTGTCGGAGGAGCCGGCACGAGCAAGGACGCGGAAGGGGACTCCGGGCGCGCCCTCTTCTTCCTCTTCCCCGGCCCGAGGCCGGAGAGATTACTCCCGCGCCGTCGGCCTCTCGTCACAGCGCCCCTCCTCATCTCGGTAGTGCTCCCTCCGTTCTTCCTCCTCGCTCCACCTCTCCCCCTTAGTTTTCCGTAGTAGCACGAGTAGCCTCCCCGTAGCTAGCCGGTGCCGCCCCGGCCGTTGCCGCCGCTCGCCGGGTGCTCGCCGCCGTCGCCGCCCGAGCTCGGAAGCGCCGCTCGTCGCCGGCCTCGCTCGGCGTAGCTCCGCCCAATCCGACGCTAGCATCGGATTCCCGTGGCCGCGTAGATGCTCTCGCCGCCGGGTATTGGCCCCTCGTGACCTCGTCGCCGTTTTCCCCTTTTCTCTCCGCCGGTTGCCGCCACCGCAATCCGCCGCCGACGGACTCCCTCCGGTGAATCCAAGCCGTTGGCTCGTCTCCCCTTGTCCTGAGCAACCACCCGGTGTACTCGCTTTCGCCTGTATCGCCGTGGTTCGCTCCGCTGCTCGCCGCTGTCGTCCGCCGTCCGTTCCGGCCGGCGTCATCGTCTACCTCCCACCGGCCCGCGTGGCAGCCACGTAGGCGCCACGTCGGCGCCAGCTCGGCCGAGATCGGATCGGGCCGATCCCGGTCAGCCCCTCCCCGTGCGCGCGGTCCACAGCGAGCCGAGAGGCTGCGCGTGGGCCCGCCGCATCCGCGTCCACCGCGAACCGCGCGCATGCACCGCGTCCCTCCCAGACCCTAGCGCCGCACCGCGTGCTCCCTCCGCACGGTGCGCCGAGCCGCTGACAAGCGGGTCCCACCCGGGACCACGCGTGGTGAGCCCGGTCCATCGGCCCTCTCTCTCCTCCCCTCCCGCGCGCGCGCTTGGGCCGCCTTGGGCCGGCCGGCCCATTTAGCTCGGCCGGACCGCCCCATCTCTCTCGGGCCGCGCCCTAGCCGCCCGAGGAAAAGTCTATTTTCCCTCCCTCTTTTCTTTTCTTTTCTTTTTCAAAAAGGATTTAATTTAATCCTTTTCCTTTAGACCAAAAATCCAATAATCTTAGAAATTCAATATCTTCCCAACCGTAAATCCGTTTGACTCCGTTCAACTTCCAAAATTCCTCAAAATCTCGAGATCTATCTAATGGCACGCTTAGAGGTCATTAATAGGGCTTTATTTTCGCTGTTTGTTGAGTTGTCCCGTTTCGCGTATAGTTTCGGAGTCCGAAGATCCGCAGCGCGAGGATTTCGAGGATCAAGCTCCAGATCTCGAGCAAGGCAAGCCACCTTTGAACATCTTGAGCCTATATTTGAAATTTAATTATGTTGCTTGAAAAATATTATGCATTGATAGGATCACACTTAATCTGTTGTCCCGTCTGCAAGGCAGATTGGCGGACCTACCTAACTTGCTGCATTTGATCCTTCCATTGTTAATCGCTATACCATGTCCCCTTGTAACCATCTAGTTGCGTCTCGATATTCGTGCACCCTGCGCGAGTATCGACGGACGCCTTCAAACTTAAAATCTGAGTAACAACTTGGGTAAAACTGAAGTTTTACAAAAGACTTGGAAAACCCGACACCTGGGTCGGTGCTTGCAAACTAAATGAATTTCCAAAACCGCGGACCGGGGAACGTACCGGGGGTACGGTTCTCCGCTCTTGCACTTAAGGACCGTTTCCTTGAAATTTCATCCGAACATAAGACAAGTACAACCACATGGGTGGAATGGGACACCCCTGGCTGAGTAACTAGCTTATCAGGGGAGCCTTGATGCCGAGAGACATGTGGATTCGCCGGGGTGGTGTCGGGGAGGACCCCTGGGCTTCCTGGCACAGTATGGTCTGGGACCTAACCTGTTATTGGTCTAGGACCCCTCTCGTCGGCATATGGTAAACCTGTGTTGGCTTTGGAAATGCCTTGTCATGAATGCTTGGAGGTCTCCCGACGTGGCTGATCCCCACGGGCTGGGTGATCCGGGTTAGTAATGTCGTGTGGGTAAAGTGTACCCCCTCTGCAGAGGTTAACAAACTGTTCGAACAGCCGTGCCCACGGTCATGGGCGGATGTGAGGTGATTCCTAGCGTAGTTTTGTTTGACTACTGCTTGTGAAATTGCTGTTGTGGAAAGGGGTTCGCTGTTTGAAAAATCTGCAGCTGATGGGATCAGCTAGGCCCGGGTGGCCGTTTGAAAGTTGTTGGCCCGGGTGGCCGTTTGAAAAGCCGTTGGCCGGGTGCCAACCTTGTTTTCAATTTTAAAGACTGATACATTGCACATACTCCGACCGGACGAGACGCACTGTCTCAACCGTGTCGTTTGAGAAGCACTCACTTAGTTGTTTTTAGAAAAGAGTTCAAATAAAAATCAACTGCAAAAACAACAGCCTTTCCTTGAAGCCTGCAATAAACACTTATTTCCCTTGGCTTGCTGAGTACTCCCGTACTCACCCTTGCTCTATATAAATAATTCCCCCCCAGTTGCTGAAGAAGATGAAGCGGATCCTGCTGATGAGGAGTTCTTTCAGGAGCAAGCCGGCTACGATGAGTTTTAGGGTTTCGGCCTAGTTCCCAAGTCGCGCTTGTGTTGTTTGGTCCAAGTCCTGCTTCCGTTTCCCTTTTGTAATGCAGTTGTGAGCTCGGGATCTGTCCGCAGCCCAACATGACTGTATCTCTACTCTATAATAAAGAGACCGCTGTTGCTGTGATATTCTGTCTCCCTATGATACCAGCACTGTTTCCTGGGACTGGTATCGATCAACAGGTTAATTTGGAGCGTCACGGGCTAGTTCCGGTCGGGATTAGTTCGGGGCGTGACAGTGTCCCTCTGTCTTTTGATTTATTTGGCTTGTTTTTGGTTTTCCATACATAAATATGAATTAACATGGCATAGTTGAATTTTCATAATTAATATGTGTGTCAAAATTCTAGGAAAAATATAAAAAAAATATCATCGTTAATCATTATAAATAGCTCTCTAAAAAACTGGCATAATTTTATTAATTCATCTGATGCCTCAATTAAACTGGCATACCTAGCTCCCTTGTGAATTTCACCACGTTAAAACCCTACCTCCCATGATTGCAGAACTTGGGCAAAGTGTTTATCATAATCCGTTCCACTCAAAGTAAAAAGATCAAAATTGTTAGCAGCCAAGCTAGGTGACATTGAGTTGTCAACCACGCCAAGTAAGGAGGGGCTTCTGGAGAGTGCGAGAGGAGACCACAAGCAATGCAGTAAAATCCCCTTCTCTAACCACCCCCCCCCCCCCCCCCTTTTTCTCCTCTGCTACGGGCAGTATAGCTGAGTCGAGTCTCTAGTTTTTACTCGGATTTTCCTGTGTGTAGGGCTAGTCCTGTTTTGAGGGAAGTTTTGTCAATGTCATCAGAAGTTTTGTTGGTGTCATCAGCATGGAGTGCGCTGGAGGCACGGTAGCGCTAGTGGAGCCGGAGACGGTGGGTGGAGGAGTGCGTTATTGTCTGAGTTACTATATATGGAGCCATGGAGGGCTAGAGCAGCCGTCTTGGCATGGTTGGCAATGGTGGCACGATCGAAGAAAAATAGTATAGGGATGCAAAATAGACTTAAATAACAATATAAGGCAAGGCCCAAAGAGAAGGGGAATACAAAATAGACTTATTTTCCAGCCATATGAACACAGCCCATAGAGTTGAGGATGAAAAATAGTTATTCTGTGAAGAAGCACGATGGGCTATCGTGCCTTCGGGCTGGCTCGTCACGGCCCGAGTCGTATTGGGCCATGCCTGGGCCGTGTATGCAACCCGTGAGGTGGCACGACACGGCTCGGCGTGTCGGTCAGGCCACGCCGGCCTAACTAACCTCGGCCCAGGCACAACCGGGCTTGGGCCATGCCGTACCGGGCGGCCCATTTGGCCAACTATAGTGCTAGATAGTGGCGAAGCCAGGATTTATAATTGAGGGGGCCAACTTAAGCTAAGTAGTAAATGACAATAATCTATTAAAAAATGAAATCACAATACATGTAAATTTCAAGCATTTTTTTACATGGATAGGAAATCATATAAGCATATTTAGACCATACAAAAGAATATTTATTTGCATACGGTATATAATTAGCTACATGCATCAGTATTAAAGATTTTAGTATTTTAAATTAAAGTGACATAAGACAGACATATCAGTAGGACGACATAAGACAGGCACATAACCTACATACCACAATTTCTCCTAATTGGCTGTAACTTCTTCGAAGCAAAGGCTGAAATCAATTTAATTATCTAGAAATTTGAGCTTTGCTCATATATGAAAAAGGAAAAGAAAACATCTTGCAGAATGAGCAAGTGTAGTACCTGCATAATCAGCTCAAAACAAGTATATGCATGACACATGGGGTATAGGAACCTGGCGTGCAGACAACGGTCACTTGTGTGAGACGTACAAAGTGCAGAGAACAAAATTAAAGACCATCGATCGATCTGGCCCGGAATAAAGCGCCAAAAAAATATGACTGCTTGATCAAGTAATGCACTAATGCCAAGATTATTGCGACACACGCTATCATCATCATCAACTCTATAAATACACGGAGCTCGATCCTGCCTCTGCTCATCAGTCACCCAATTAATCAAGTTTAATTTAATTTAGCTACGTAATGGCGAGCGGCGGCGGCGGCGACGGCGAAGGGAAGCCGCCGGCGAAGGAGGAGTCGACGGAGTACCGGCTGAGGAAGTACCTGCTGCTGCTGGCGACGCTGGTGGCGACGGTGACGTACGCGGCGGGGCTGAACCTGCCGGGCGGGTCCTGGGAGGAGGACGCGCCGGCGCCGGCCGGGCTGCGGGTGGTCGCCGGCGACCCCATCCTCCGGGAGACGCGGTACACGCGGTACGTCGTGTTCTACGCCTGCAACGCGGTGGCGTTCGCGGCGTCGCTGGTGGTGAGCCTCATCGTGCTCGTCCTCCCCAAGGAAGGCGGCGGCCGGCTGCTCGGCGCCATGCGCGCGGTGATGGTGGTCGACCTGCTCGGCCTCATGGGCGCCTACGCCGCCGGCAGCAGCCGAGACGGGTTCACCACCGCCGCCGCCTCCGCCCTCCTCCTCCTCGTCTTCGCCTACGTCGCCGGCGCCTTCCTCGCCTCCCTCAATCTCATCACCGTCAGATGGCAGCTGCCGTGTCAAGAACGAGCATCGCCGCCAGCGGCGGCGCCGCGGCCGCCGCCGCCAGGAGACCAAGATCCGGCAGCAACCAAGGCGATGAAGTCGGAGCACGAGATCCTGCTGCTGCTGGCCATCTTCGCGGCGACGATCGCGTACGTGGCGGGGATGAACCCGCCGGGGGGATTCTGGCGGGACGCCGCCGTGGGCGGGGAGCACGTCGCCGGCGACCCGGTGCTGCAGGGGCGGGAGCACCCGAACCGGTACAGGGCGTTCTACGTCTGCAACACCGCCGCCTTCGCGGCGTCGCTGCTCGCCGTGATGTTCATCGTCGTCGAGGACAAGAGGCTCCGCCATTGGAGGAGGGCGGTGCCGTACGGGCTCGTCGTGGCGGCGCTGCTGGGGCTCGGCGGCGCGTACGCCGCCGGGAGTTGCCGGGACGGGAAGCACACGGCGTACGTGGCGTGCCTGGTTGCCCCGGTCGTTGCCTACATTGCCATCCTCTATATAGCTTGTCCCAGCCGCAGCCCATCGTCGACGTCGAAATCGCCATCGAATACAAATACTACAACCACAACCATCAGCATCAGGTATATTATATTATATCTTGGAAATTAATATATCCTCACTCACTGCACTGTCATGGCATGCAAAAATAGTTGAGTTCTAGCTAGGTTGAAGTTTTCATTTCTCCACCTACTCGCACATAGGAGCAAATTTTAGATTGAGTTGTTTGCGGGGCTAAGTTCTCTATTTTAATGGTCGAATTTTAGATTGGGTTATTTGTGGGGCTAAGTTCTCTATTTCAATGTTCGTATATATCCAATTGGATGTAGATGCCCGGTAAAAAATACCATTCCCTAAAAAAACATACTCGCATGCAACGTACATTAGCAGTTATATATATATATATATATATATATATATTTGTTATTTCTGTAAACAACTTATTTTTGTTATGTCTATTACAACTCACAGAAGTTGAATTTTCACATGTTTGTTTGTAAAGCGATATATTTCATATTAATCTATCTTATCAATATTTTTCTTATTTTTTTTAACTATTATTGGCATGAAAGAAACAAGAGGTTATTCCCTCTAGAGATGAAAACATTTTCCCTATTCGTCAGGCATATTATTCAAGTCTTGCATATATTTTCCCAAATCTACCCAAAGAAAATAAAAGTTGACACTAATTATATGACATCCATGAAACTAAACCTAACAAACAAGTTGATCCATTGACCATGTTGACATTAATCACCAAAATCACAATGACCTAAAGTAAATAGGGTGAACTTCATTAGTGGCAAACACACAGTGGCGGATCCACCATGGGGTCTCTGGGGTCACGAGACCCCACTACCCGTATTGTAACCATGGGAGACCCCACTAAAATTTTCTGTCATTCATGTATAGTTTGTTCAAACCCTCCTGTTAATCTTTCCTGGATCCGCCCCTACGAACACATAACTAAAGTTTATGGGGTGCTTGTTAATTCAAAGTAGCGCAAGATTATCACCGAAATAAAAGGTCTACATATATGTTTTTGCCATAATATTGTTGAGATTTAAAAACATCAAAGACTTTATTGGATAACATATAGCAATATCTATAATACCAATTAGTTTAATTAAATCTGACATTGAATATATGTTTTGCATCAAAAAAGTTTACTTTTTTTGGTTAAAATTAAAGAAGTTTGACTTTTAAAAATAAAAAATTGTATTAAAATATGAAACGGAGGGAGTAGTACATATATAAGCTAGATGTGTTGACCAAAGTACGGTGAAGGCTACCTATTTGCCTAAGCCGGTGCTTGCTTGCCGGCCCCATGGTGAGTCAGTATGGTTGGGCACAGCGACCTATATAGGTAGCGTCGCGATTCCTCCATCGCAAACACCGTGCCATCATGTGGGCTAATTGACTAGATTAGTTGGCTTGATTATCAGAATTAAACCAATCTAGAAATAGTATTAGAGATAACATGTATAATAGATTAGCTATAAGGTTGTCTCTAATTTTTTTCTCCCCTCTTTTGCAAGCTTATAGGTGGTTTGTAGCTTACTACTAAACTTATTCTAATATGCTATTTACGTGGAAGCCCATGAAGCAAGCCCCTAGGATCGATGGAGGCGCATTGGGGTTCCCGTGGCATGCTCTCCTAGGGAGTAGGGGTACGCGAGCCCCCTTTGCCTACCTATTGTGTCCGTCATTAAGTTTTCTTATAGTAGATTATTCTTGTGCTGTAAGAAAAAAACATTTTCATGCCAACTGAGAATTTAAGACCCTAGTTTAATTTGAGCAAATATGCAAGTGCCTTTTTTTATGGTCAAAACAATTACCCTTGGCTGCAATATAATTATCTATTGGTGCAATTACCAGTGACAGCAAACAAGACAAAGAGGTGGATAAGATTTGTGAGTACATTCAGTTGCTTGCTACTCTAGCAGCGACCATTGCTTACCAAGCAGGAATAGATCCACCTGGTGGTGTCTGGGGAGAGAGCGGGAAGGGTCATAGGGTTGGAGATCCAATACTCCTCACAACGCATCCCAGGCGGTTCAAGGTCTTCTTCTATTTTAACTCTGCAGCTTTTGTGGCGTCCCTGGTCATCATGGCACTGTCGCAGAATAAAAGATTGGTGAGGAGATACCATGCTGTACTGGAGGCGACCATGATACTGGACCTGTTCGGCCTCATAGGAGCGTACGCTGTCGGGTGTTGCAGGGACACGAGCACCTCCATTTACATCATCGCCATGGCTGGTGCTGTCCTTGTCTATGTAGTGATTCACATTGTCTTCTTCACATTGGAGACTAAAAATGGCGGTGATGATCAGTTGGAGGAGCATCGTGAGGTGCTGCTTCTTCTTACGGTCTTGGCTGCGACACTCACCTACCAAGCTGGCCTAACCCCGCCAGGTGGTTTCTGGGAGAACGATGAGAAGTTTGGCTACCATGCGGGCTTCCCCGTGCTCCTAAACAAGGACCCTTGCCGCTACAAGGCATTCTTCTACTGCAACGCGGCAAGCTTCATGGCGTCTGTGGCTCTAATTGTTCTTCTTATGAACAAAAATCTATATCGGCCAGGCATTCGGAGCTATGCCCTCATTATCTGCATGGTAGCAGGCATGTTTGGGGTTCTGGGTGCCTACGCTGCTGGAAGCTCCATATATCTACGGACCTTCATCATTGTACTGGTATTGGTTCTTGTGGTTTTTGTAGGTGTAATCTGTCTGGCAATCAACCATTTCAGAGAATTAAAGAAGAATACACAACAACAACAACAACAACAACCACCACCACCACCAACGGGAACCAATGGGTTCTCCTCGCCAAAGCTTTCGATGCAAGAAGAAGATGTGATCAAGTACCTGATGCTGGTAGGGATACTAGCCGCGTCTATCACCTACCTGACAGGCCTAAAACCACCCGGCGGCCTATGGAGGGACGAAGGCGATGGACACTCTGCGGGCAATCCGGTCCTCTATGACATTAACATGCGACGATACAATACTTTCTTCTACAGCAACTCCACTTCCTTCATGGCTTCTATCACTGTCATCGTGCTGCTACTCCAAAGGATGTTGTCGCCCAAAACGGGTGGCGAAAAGGTCTTTTGGCCGATGCACACGGTCATAGTGTTGGACATGCTTGCCCTCCTGGTAGCCTACGCAGCAGGCAGCGTTCGGGATTGGGAAACATCCAAGAATGTCTTCCTCCTGCTCATCCCCATACAACTCTTCGTTGGGGGTTTGTTCTTCATATGCAAGAAAAAACAAACTTCACCACAAGATGATGGTTCAGCTGCTGGGACTAACATGTAGCCGAAGTCAAATTCTGCCTAAGATATTTGATAAAAGTTGAGTTTTTTTTTTCAGGTTGGAGCCCGAAGTGTGTGTCAAGATATCAAATTGTTTGCTCTACTATGTATTCTTTAGTGCCTGCACATTTGCACGTCTGGTATCAATAATTTAACTTTGCATGTACCATTGTTTATTTTTAACTTTTATTATTAATTTTTAATTTATCTTACCATCGATCTTCTTTGGTAATAGACCCAAAATTTGTAAAACTCAAAGTTTGAATTATGGGCAATGAAATGTGTGTCCCTCTGTCTTTTGAATTTATGTGGCTTGTTTTTGGTTCTTAAATACATTCATATGCATTAACATGGATTAGATGAATTTTCATTCCGCTCCGCCCGCCGGCCTTCCTGACTGAAGAAGAGGAGAGAAGAGAGAAAAGAGAAAAGGAGGAGAAGAAAAGAGAAGAAAAAAAGATGTGCAGCTGACATGTGGATCTCATGTACTTCTTTTAATTCTTTTTTTTGCTAAGTAGAATGCCACGTCAGTGAAACCGCCCATATATATTACCATAGGACCTTGAGTGCACAGTTTGTGTGAGTTTAGGGGTACATATTTTTGGTTTTGTGGTTAAGCGACCTCAAAAAATCTCGCTGTTAAGTTGAGTGACCTCCGGTGAACTTATTCCTCGTATGATTGGTGATGCACATTGAATTGTGAGTGATATATTCTTTTTGGGGCTATTGCCTTCCTGAATATATGAATATATATTATGTTGCATGTAGTGTATATGAAAGGTCATGCAAATTTTTATTAGGTTACTTACAATTTTTCATAGACTACACCTCACCTCACTATTTTTTTTCAAGGTTTCTCTACTAGTATTTTGTAATTTTCAGCAAACAAAAAGTATCACCGGGTTTCACGCTCACATAGGTCAGTTTCCCAGTAAACATTCATTTCGCACGTCTTTCCCCGTTGAAATTCTGGTGATTTCGATCGAAAAATCCAAAAAGCTGATCAGTTTCCACTACTAAACTCAAGTACTTGAAATTTTGGTTTTCCATTGAATTGTCAATTTTTGCAACCCCCCCCCTCCCCCAACCCCCCACCAGGTACTACGGTTTGTAGGGCTATCGGAAATGTAAACCCAACAACAAATCACTCGGATTGCAGCTCAACATCATAGAAAACAAATTCGGTACAAAATGTAAATGATTCTGTACTGTACTTGATAAGCGTGCAACTTCTGAAATTCCTATAGCAATTTCCAATACCGTTCATCGAAAGTTCTGGCACTAGCAACTTTCCTACTGCTCTAAAAACAAATCTAGACTTGTTGGATTATCACTGTCAGTTCAATTGAAACCGGCAGTGACCGAGTCATCACTGCCGGTTCAGAGTCCCATTGGACAACTGGACATGAATTTCATGGACTTACAGAAGTAGCCTCCTCTGAGAAAATTTTCCAGCTACACAAAATGCTGGACAAGAATGCAGTTGGGAAAGGGAAAGAAAAAGAAAAAAAAAAGAAAACAACTCAATTGCTAGCACTGGCCAAGTTTCTCAAGAGTAAAAATGCTACAAACAGTATAGGTGCTCTGAAGCAATGGGGAAATGTGATGTTGCCTAATTCTTTTTTCTGCGTAACTGGTAACTAACAAAAGCTTAGCTTCTCTATTTACACACAAATATCTAATGGGCTACAAAGTGGCAGGTTCAAATATGTGCCTTACCGTCCACTGCCAAGTATCATTGTTTACTCTGCGACATAGGATCAACGAATCTGCTGTACTGTGCCGCCAGTTCTTGGTAAAATTTAACATCAGATGGCTTTATTCTGCTAATTGCAGACTTGAAATGTCTAATTTCTACTTCTGGAATATCAATGTTCTCCTGGAGAAAATAATTGTTTATCAGTGAATCACAAACATCTAAGTACAATCCAATAGTCATGTGCAACAATGGGGGAAAGAACAAATAGCTTACATCTAAGGCGGCAATAGCAGCTTCCCTGCAGACAAGCTTTATGTCAGCGCCAGTGTAACCTTCTGTAAGTCTAGCAAGCTCATTTAGATTGACGTCATGACTACATGGCATGTTGCGTGTATGGATCCGGAAAATATCCACACGATCAGCCTCATCTGGTGGTTGCACATCAAGCAGCCTATCGAAACGACCTAGCGCATACATTGTTCATAAAGTCAGACCAAGTACTATATAAGTAACCCAACCAATGTATGTAAGCCAGACAAAATGTGAATAACCGGACAAATAACCTGGTCTCAGAAGTGCACAATCAATTTTGTCAGGGCGATTTGTGGCTGCAATAACAGTAACACCAATTCTTTGCTCCAAACCTGTAGCAACCATAATAAGTTATGCATGCTCTAACCAAAACATCAATAGGATCTTTTAGAGGTTGTACATGACAAAAACATGAATACGAAGAGAAGCTAATGACATTGACAGGAATAGCCAAAGAGAGGATTTTTGGCATGCAATTGTTAGCCAATGTTCATATTCAGAAGCAGTCCTTTTTTTTTTTTTGCAGGGAACAACCATGATATTCTTCAAATGAATACAGTTACCAATTAAAATTATTCATAATCCACAATCACAAGCTTAAAACACCAAATTGTATTGTACTCTTAACAACGAAATAATCCAATTAAAATAACTGCTGAGCTAATTGCAGGACTAAAATAATGGATAACACAATGAGGTATTAAAACTCACCATCCATTTCCACTAGCAATTGACTGAGAACCCTATCACCAACTGATACGCTATCATTTTCACGGCCTCGAGTTACTGCAAGCCCATCTATTTCATCGAAAAATAATATTGCTGGTGCATTATCTCTGGCTTTTGCAAATAGTGATCTCACTGCCTTCTCGGAGTCCCCAACCCATTTGCTGAAAAGTTCAGGACCCTTAACTGCAAGGAAGTTTAGTTTTGCCTCGGAAGCTACAGCCCGGGCCATCAATGTCTTACTGCAACCAGGTGGTCCAATCATTAGCAATCCTCTAGGGGGGCTGACCCCCATGTTTTCGAATGCTTTCGGGTTTTTCTGTGGCAACTCGATGGCTTCTATTAACTGCTCCTTGATTCTCACTTGGCCGCCAACATCTTCCCATCGTATCTTTGGAAGTTCAAGTGATACCTGTAAAGGAAATCATAGATATCAAAATATGACGATCAGCTACAGATTAAAAAAAAAAACACTAGTTTTTTATTTCCCATAGGATAATAATGCATTTATGAAGCACATTGAGTAATGAAACACAAAAGGAACATACAATCAACTGAACTATTTGACAAAGCTTTGTATCAATTTTCAACGAATATGCAACTTCTAGACTAAATTGGAGTTCATGAATGAAAAGATTGACACAAACAAAAAAAAAGAGAAGAAAAGATGAGAGAGAACAACAACATTGCTTAAGCAGCAAACTGTTATGAGAAAGGAAAAATAGCAAATTATTATAGAAGAGATTGTCATCAGACTAAATTGGGTAGATCGGGAGGGTGAATATGATACCTCACGCATTGCACTCGGCCTCACTTTAATTTTAGCCTTCTCAAAGTCCTCAGTGGTCACTAACAAGAGCAAGTCATCTTTCTTGCCACTAGATCCATTGTTTTCTGTGTCATTGCTCCTACTGGTGCACAGGACATCATCCACTGACATTGTTAACTTTGAGAGAGAGGATGCTATTGAGTTTACTTGATACCCCAAAGGATCATTAATCTCTCTAATATCAGGCTTTTCTGCATTATTGTCATAATACCCTAGTTGTTGAGAACTCTTCTTTAGGCTGATATAACGGCGAAGAGCACTTAACGCAGCCTCATTGCAGAGGGCAGCAAGATCAGCACCCACAAAACCATGAGTAGCGGAAGCAAGGGACTCAAGTTGCTCACAACTGAGAGAATGCTGAACTCCAACTAGAAGGTGTTGAAGTATGTCCAGCCTTTGTACTGGAGATGGTACTCCTGCAAGCAAGCCATTTCAGGGGAAAAAAAATCAACAGATGACTTAAGGTAAGCAATTTATCAACTGGACAACCATGCTATTGCACCATTAGAATTGATTGTTCTCATATCACATTTGATATCACCTATAAGCACGTGGAGAAAATGATAAAATAATCTATAGGGTAGGGATGATACCATGTTTCTTCAAAGATAATCCATTGTTTAGAAATTTTTTTTGGTTTAAACGTTATGATTATTCAACATATAATGATCCATCCATGTACTCAACAAATCTCAGAATTTAAATAGTTCTTGGTGTCAATAACTGAACAGACAACAAGCAAGTAAAGTAGATTACACCCATAACATTAACTTGAGTACAAGAATAGCATCAGATATTTGTACCTATCTCAATTTTTCGGTCCAACCTTTCCGGGCGTTTCAATGCCGGATCAATACTATCGGGTCGATTTGTTGCAGCAATCACGAGAACACGGTCTCTAGGGCTCATAGCATCAATCAGTTTTAACAGAGTGACAACAATTCTAATGGATAATTCCTCACTCCCATCCTTCCTTTCTGGAGCAATTGCATCCAATTCATCAATAAATATCTAAAAGAAAAAAATATTATAGGTAATCAATCCTTGATTCTTTTACAATGGTAACATGTAGTTTGAAGAAAACTAATCAGGGCACTCAATACTTGTTATCCATAGTATATGTCTAGTAAACCACTGCCATAATCATATCTAGATGATACCTAGCACATTGATGTGGACATTGATGGGTGCACTGTAAAATATGTTGGACTGGAAGTCATCATTCTCATCGAGAAGTGCCGAATCCAACATAAAGAAAATTATTTGTTTGTATTAGAAAAAATAGGTGATGATCTAAAGTATCAAAGAGCCATCGAACAGTGTGAAAAAATGGTGACAATGTGGCTTTATGTGGTGGCTTGGAGTTTTTACATTATAAACAGAGGAAATATGAAACATAGATTTCAATATATCAATGTAAACTGGCCAGTTTGGCGGCATAAATTTTTAAGAGAACAAAATGTAACTTAAAACATATGAGCTGCAAAGAACATCTTACAACTCAGGAACCTAGAATTCAAAATTTAAATGTATTCAGCAAATTATCAGAAGGTAGTAAAGATGCTTTATATTCAATACCTTGCTAACTATCCGAGTATAGGAGATACCATTGTAAAGATAGATTCCAAAAGTTACCACAAAGAATTATTATATTTTTTCAGTTTCACAACATATAAGTGAAAAACCAAAACTATGAAAGAGGCAAATTTTCTTAATTTTAAAGCATAGTTGACATGATGAAAAAAATGTAGGAAAGCATTAGAGAGTCTAACCACAGCAGGGGCAGCTTGCTTAGCTGAACTGAAAACATCATAAAGTGCCTGCTCACTTTCACCATAATACTGACTAATGATCTCTGGTCCGTTGATTGTAAAAAGATTGACTCCTTCATCATAGGCACAAGAAGTAGCAAGAGAGGTTTTCCCTGTTCCAGGTGGACCAGAAAGAAGGATACCTCTGTACCAGAGGTTATCTTTGACCCTGAAACCAGTCAACATATTAGTGATGGAAATAACTTTCTTTTTTATGGTTAGACGTGAGCGATGAATCAATATTTCACAGTATACCTTTGCAAGCCAATTTGGTCTTTGATTGAAAATGAAATGATTTCTTTTATTTCTTTTGATTCTTTGGATAGCCCACCAAGTCTTGGACCGTGATTGAAATCTCCGTTTCTTGCATCAGTACGAAAGGAATTGTGTGCTGATGGGCCTGGCTTAACAAAGGCAATCTCCTCTGAGCAGACTGGACCAGAAAGATGCACTTTCGTGGTTCTGTCAACAAGGAATGAAACAGGCGCTTCCCCAAATTTACCAGAAATCTCTTCATTAGACGGTAACTTATCTTTATCATGCACCACATCAGGAGCAGAACCATCTACTTCTGCTCCCATAACAATAAACATAGACAATTTCCCACACATCAGGAGGGGAACATAGTTTGCTTTCAGTAGGTGCCTACCACTGAGCCAGCGTGATGCACAAGTCTGCAGCAACTCATTAATTTTCTCATCTGCTAATGATGATCTTGCAGTAGCTGGATCCAAACACAATGAAGGGCCACTGTGGGATGCAATATCATAGGACTCATTCCTGCCTGACAGAACTGAAGAATTTCTCTTAGGTGATTCTATAACCATTCCATTTCTTATAGGATGGTGTACAGACTCAGATTCAATCTCGCTGGAAGATCCAACTTTAGCTGGGACAAAACTAAGGTAAAGATTGCTGCATTTTATCACCCGTAAAATGTCAACACTATCAGTTTCCTTTGGGGCCTGAGATGTATATAGGGGGCTAAAAAACAAGGAACAACCTACTGAAGGATTTCCCAGGGAGCAAGCAAGGTCCCAAGACAGCTTGATACCATTCTTTTGGACCTAAGAAAACAACAAGATTAAAAACTTTTTCGCTGGGACAAGATTAAAAACTTTATCAGTTATTAAGCATTCTAACCATTGCTTTATAAGTACAAGGCACACATACCTCACGTGAGGGGAAAACTTTGGCAATCACAAAGTTTCGACCAGCTTCATTAGGCATGAGATCATTATCCACATCAAGATCAAAGAACTCGTTGCACTCCTCAAATAAACTATCAAGTGGTGAACCATCTGATCGACCCCTATTTGAAGAAATGAGAGATACCTAGAAATAAGGAGATCAGTTTCAGCTTATGTACCAAAAAGGACATTTAGACTAGCATACTAAACGGTTTTTGCATCATTGCATGAAGTATAAACACGGAAGTTTTGTTCTACGATGAGAGTAACATAACTCGACACGATAACACATATCTGGACATGGCTGTTTAGTGACAATGCTCAAGCTGATGGGAAACGAACTGGGATCACTAGTGATTCATTAAAAAGATTTGCTGAAGCTAGTAAACAAAACGATGATTTTCAGCACCAAGAGATAAATTCAACTTCTCAACTGCGACAAGCTATACAGCATCAAAGCAAACATTGCAGCAATAAGCAACAGTGAAATGGACTCACACAAATCAAAGGTAAGCTCAGCAGCTCACCATCGACTAACCTATGCCAAATCGAGCCACATTCCTAAAATCGCAGCATCTTTAGCTACAGAAGGATCACATTTACAGAACAATCATAGCTTCCTTAGCTTAAAAAGCAAGTTGGGCACACGAAGCATTCCAAAAATCTCAAGGAGGAGGAGGAGCATCAAGCATGAGCTTACGGAGACGAGGCACCCAGGCCGCAGCGCGGCGCCGACCATGGCGGGCTCGGAGAGCCAGAGCCTCGCCTCCCCGCCGCGGCTCCTGCCCCTGGGGGCCACTTCCGCGACGGTCCCGGAGAAGCACCCCTCGCCGCCACGGGGCACGAGCGCCGGGTGCCGCGCCGCCGCCGCCGCGGCGACGGACGGGAGGTCGAGAGTTCCTCCTCCGTCGCCGCCGCCCGCGGCGACGCTTCCACCTTCGCGGCCGCGGGATGCAGGGGTGCGAGGGGACGGCTGCGGCGACGCCGCGGACTGCTTCTTCTTGGCCTTCGGTGGCATGGCGGCGGCTGGGGCGGCGCGGCTTCCGGCGAGGTCACGAGGTTTGGTGCTTTGGTAGGGTTTAAGTTTTTTTTAAAAAAAAATAATGTTTTTTTCTAGATGTTGCAGTTGGGCCAAGTATGAAAATGGGCCTGAAAATGGGTTCATTGGGCTCATTTGGTGTTCTGGGCTGGCGTCTGATATGGAATTATGGCCCAATAGGCCTGTGAAGGAGTATTTCATCACTGAACAAAGTTCAGGAGAGAATAAATTGCACCTGACACTGGCTAAAGAGTGACTTATATAATCATATCTCTAAAAAAATCATAATAAATTAATGGAACCTCGTAAAACATGATCTAAATTCAAAAGGTTTCATAAGTTGTGCTCATATTTTATGAGTTTTGTTTTTAATTATGTGATGCAACCTAGTGCAAAGTGGAAATTATAGTATACCCTGGGGTAAAGCGAAAGTATGTACTCCTACTAAACTAAGGTGAGCAAAACAATGTACAATCTACTCTGTCTTCGGTCTTCCTTGAAAAAAAATATAATTCATGTGTACCAATTTTAGATGAATCATTTTTTTGAGAAAAAAAATGTGAATTCTTTTTTAGGGGAAAATTATGTGAATTCACTCGTTCTAGAATGTTATGGCTAACACACTCGTTTTAGATGAATCACCCAAATGTATATACTAGTTGACACCGAAAAAAAAATTATTTGCAAGAATTGTTATGGCTAACACACTTTTGCCTTGTACAAAATGCTGTGTAATTCATATTTTTGTTGCCAGTCCTCATCACTCCGATACCGCAAAAATTACATATATGCATAAAAATTTACACGTATGAACACCCATTTTTTGCAGCTCTTGGGCAATTGGGCCCCAGAGAGCAGAGCCCGCGATAAACAGAGCGAATCAAGCTGCGACACGTGTCATCAAACCCCCTCCATGTCAGCCGCCACCGAAGCAGATAAGGTTCGCGTGCGCGCGACAGCGTAGCCATGAGCCCATGACACCGAGCAGAGAGCGATCACCATGGCGGCGTTCATGGCGAGCGGCAGGTCGACGGTGGCTCCTTCGACCACCCGCAGCTGCCGGCCGGCGGCGGGATTCGTCACCCCGCGCAGCCTCTTCAGCTGGGGCGGCAGAAGCGCGCCGCCGCCGGAGTTCCAGTACCACGACGTCGCGCCGCCGTTCCCCATGTCCCTCGTCGCCAACACCCACCTCAGAGGCAAAACCCAAATCATCTTGTTCTTGATGATGATTTAGTTCTTGCTCGATTACTGATCAGTAACTAATTCCTGGTTAATTAATTCCCGTGTGCAGTGCAGGTCGCGAGCTGAAATGCTGCTACAAGGCCACCGTGGACGGCTTCAGCGCGACGGACTTCCATCGCCGGTGCGACTTCAAGGGCCCCTGCGTAGTCGTCGGCCGCACCGGCGGCGGGGTCAGGTTCGGCGGGTTCAGCCCGGAGGGGTACCGGAGCACAGACGACTACTACGACACGCTCGACGCCTTCCTCTTCTATTGGCCGGAGACGGACACGGACGCAGCGGCGAAGGAGGCGGCGGTGGTGGTGCTGCCGAAGGTGGGCGGGAGCGGGGCGGCGCTGTTCGACTACGCGCGGGGCGGGCCGCAGTTCTGTCGAAACATGAATTCGGCAATAATAAAAGGAGGTAGCGCACGAGACCTAAAAGTGGATGGATGCAGAGACAAAGGATTTAGACAGGTTCAGGCCCTCTCGATGAGAGGTAATACCCTACTCCTGTTTGGGGATTTGAATCCGCCGGTGTAGTATAGATCTGACGATCAGGTTGTCTCATGCCCCCTAGAGGGCCTCCTGCCCACCTTATATAGGGTGGGGGGCAGGATTACAAGATAGAAACTTTAACCAATACGGTATCGGTTTCCTAAATCAGGACTTTAGGCCGTTCCGTAATATACAAGGAAACGTAACACCCAAGTCATGATCTGTTACATATTACATAGATATAAGTTATCCCCTATAACTAGTCGGATAACCATGCCGTATGGGTATGGGGTACCCATAATATCCACAGTAGCCCCTGAGACCTTCGCAGTCGAAAAGATAATCTTCTCTCGAACCAGATTACTCCAAAGCCGAGTGCTTCAATCATCTTTGTCATGGTCTCCCGAGTACTTTTACCAAATCTGAAGACTGTGGAGGGCTGAAAAATAAAGTCAGGTGCACCGACTAGATGCACCTAATAGGTGTAGCCCCCGACAATGTGGTTAATTGAACAAACCAAGCATATAGTCAAGGAATAAATAATCCAACCAACCGAGTGGTTTTGATAATCGTAATCAACCAAGTGACTTGATATCAATATATAGCATATGCGGTGTGAATCCTCCAAATAACATGATCCGAGTGATATACCAACTGCTTTGTAAAATATGATGAGTGATATAGCAAAATAGCTATAAAGAAGCTTGTATATTGTGAATAAAGAAATTTCCAAAGTATTGGGCATACGCCATGCGCACACTGCTTTAACAGATGTGTTTAAGTCCCTAGAAGACACATGGTTTCACCACACCTGGAAATATATGGCATATGTGGTGTAAAATCCGAGTAAATAAACTCATAAAGGATTTACCAACCGCCTAGAAAAAGACCACAATATATAATCAGCCTAAGCCATAATATTGGTCAATAAAAATGCACACTTACGTGGCGAAAAGCAATGATATTGTATCCAATCAATTGCTTAAAAACTCAAACAGCACCTTGAATTATATATAAAAAAGTCAGCGGGACAGCTATATAAAGCTTTACTGTTTGACACCTTTTAAGATGCATTGTATCAACTCCTAAAAAGTTAAGTAACTGCGGTATAAAAGGATTTTAAGGTATTGGGCACTTGATCACGCGCACTTTGGCCTAAGCAAAAAGTGCCTAAGTCCCTAAAAGAACGTGACAGGCCACACCTGAAAATATGGGCTGCAGACATATTAGGCCTAGGCCAAAACATATGCCTTCGACACCCTTTAAAGGATGACGCATATAACATGCTCCCGAGTAATAAATCTTCCGGGTAATATAGACCAAGCGTAGCTCATATGAATAGCTTCTGATCTGAGTGGTTATCCCTTATGGGATACTCCAAAATAGATGTAACAATTGAATCCCGACTGGCGCAAGTATTCAGTTGATAACCCTTACGGGGAATAATAAATAGTCCAGTCTTTGAGCATATAAAATAGACCCATGATCATGAATTCATGTTGCATGTATCCGGAGCAAGTCCAAATTGAAGATATAATACTTGTATTTGAGCTAGTAAGCCCCTGAGCACGTAGTCACAATTGTTCATTGATGGTAGCTGACGCAGTTGGCATAGAGACAAGACGACCAATATAGAGATAATATTGCCCAACAGAGGTGGCAAAAATATTGGTGGTAGTGAAGATAGTGATACCAATCAAAAGTGATGAAGTTGCACAGCCGTGGAGGCGAAGAAACCAGTCGGCAGCAGTCAGATCAGCCAGCAATGAATATGAAGGCGCTCAGCGATAAAGTTGTGTAGCTATGGCAGCAAAATAATCAGTCGGTGACAGACGAGGCAGATCAAAGGCGATGACGAAATCCACCAATCATGAAGATGAGGAAATTAGTCGGCGACGACAAACGTAACCGACAGCAATGATGATAAGCATCAACAGAGATGATCAAACATGATGACGAAGTTGCCTATCAATAGCAGTAGAGTAAGCTATGATAAAGAGGTTTGACAGGATGTTGATGAAGATGACGATGTCGGTGATCCAGTCAATAGCGGTGTAATAGCCGATGATAATGACGAAGACGCTCATCAGCGTTTGCATAGTAGGTCAACCGTGAAGGCGGAATAGCAAGTTGGCAAAGTCTTAGTCATCCATTAGCAACGGCGGAATGTCAGAGCTGATGAAGCAGATGTGCTGGTGATGATGTCAGTGACAATAATCCATCAAACTGTTGTAGATGCTTCACTTGGAGGAAAGTATATGCTGTTGTTCAACTCATTGAATCTGATATGAGTTGATTGGTTGATGACTCCAAACTCCCAGACATGTAAATTTAATCTTGACCTACTGCTCTGAAGCGAAGACAAAATTGATGACTCCCAGAGTTGACTTGTTGGCTGATTAATTGATTGCTTCAGCTTGACATAAAATTTGTCAAATTTTGAGCCTTATATTTGTGTAGCCCCCGACTCTTTGGTTAGTTGGGAAACAACTGAACATAGAGTCGAGAATTATAGCTTCTTGTCGTCGAGTAGTCATTGCTTGATTGAAGATATGTGTTGAAGATGTCCAAGTAGAAATCCTGAATATTGGAGAGCCACTTGTTGTAGTAAAATAACACGGCATCGCATGTCGAGATGTCGAGATTCACAACAACGTCATGGTTGGTGATGTAGCAAAACTTGTGAAGTAGCAGCAATAGAGTTTGCTGGTTCCGAAGATAATAAAGATGAAGTCGCTCCACCATGATGACAAAGTTGTGTTGCCGTGATGAAGTGAACCGGTAGTGAAGACGCGCAGTTGTGAAGATAAAAGCACTAGTCGGCGGCGGCATAACACGAGTCGGCGGCGGAAGACGATGATGTCCATCAGTAGTGGTAGCTGTATAAACCAGATGTAGAGGCGAGGGCACTAGTCAGCAGCAGACGAGACGACCGGCGATGAAGATGGTAAGGCCAATCAACACTGGCAGAATCATGCAGCCATGGAAGTGAAGAAACCAGTCGGCAGCCATGGCAAACGTAGGCAGCTTGTGTTGAAGATACTGATGCCTATTAGTAGTGACAGCGATGTAGCCAGCCGTGAAGAAGATAGCATCAGTTGGCGTTATAACAGGCCAGCCGTGCAGGCGGTGACACCAGTCAGCGGCGGATGCGGCGGCCGGTCGGTGAAGACGTAGACGCCCAACAACGGCGGCATAAAGGCCAGCCGTGCAGGCGGAAACACCAGTCGGCGGCGGCGAAGGCAAGCCGATCGGTGAAGACGTAGACGCCCAACAACGGCGGCATAAAGGCCAGCCGTGCAGGCGAGGACATCGGTCGGCGGCGACAAAGGCAAGCCGGTCGGTGAAGACGTAGGCGCCCAACAACGGCGGCATAATAGGCCAGCCGTGCAGGCGAGGACACCAGTCGGCGGCGACGAAGGCAAGCCGGTCGGTGAAGACGTAGACGCCCAACTACGGCGGCATAAAGGCCAGCCGTGCAAGCGGAAACACCAGTCGGCGGCGGCGAAGGCAAGCCGGTCGGTGAAGACGTAGACGCCCAACTACGGCGGCATAAAGGCCAGCCGTGCAAGCGGAAACACCAGTCGGCGGCGGCGAAGGCAAGCCGGTCGGTGAAGACGTAGACGCCCAACAACGGCGGCATAAAGGCCAGCCGTGCAGGCGGAAACACCAGTCGGCGGCGGCGAAGGCAAGCCGGTCGGTGAAGACGTAGACGCCCAACAACGGCGGCATAAAGGCCAGCCGTGCAGGCGGAAACACCAGTCGGCGGCGGCGAAGGCAAGCCGGTCGGTGAAGACGTAGACGCCCAACAACGGCGGCATAATAGGCCAGCCGTGCAGGCGGGGACACCAGTCGGCGGCGACGAAGGCAAGCCGGTCGGTGAAGACGTAGACGCCCAACAACGGCGGCATAAAGGCCAGCCGTGCAGGCGAGGACATCGGTCGGCGGCGACGAAGGCAAGCCGGTCGGTGAAGACGTAGACGCCCAACAACGGCGGCATAAAGGCCAGCCGTGCAGGCGAGGACATCGGTCGGCGGCGACGAAGGCAAGCCGGTCGGTGAAGACGTAGGCGCCCAACAACGGCGGCATAATAGGCCAGCCGTGTAGGCGGAAACACCAGTCGGCGGCGGTCGAGGCGAGCCGGTGGTGATGTTCTGACTGATCCATTCCTGGAGCGTAAGAGATAAGCTTAAAGCCATGAATCCCTTTTATGCATATCTGGATCTGGATCCTGCAGAACAAACATATAGGATGAGTAGTATCTGATATAAATATAATACTCGAGAAAAAATCAAGTATTTTAAAATATTTATAAATATGTATTTCTCCTCTTGTCAATTTTGATTTCCCCGAGCAGATGACTCATTACGTTTAAACACTCTGCCCGACTAGTCATAGCCACCAAGCACTGGGAGTCGGCCTAAGCACTTCCCAAACATGCATATGAGTGACATGAGTTCGTCATTAATGGAACAAAGTTTCACGGATCGGAGTTTACTACTCGGGTACTTTTGCAATTATTAAGAGCAGAAAATAAATTATCTTATCTCTATGCTTTTGATTTATTCCGAATAATACTTAGCACCTTGCGTTACTCGGTCCATCCAACGAGCCCCCGGGTGCTAGGAATCGGCCCAAAGGCAACCATCCATTGGCAAACCAAACGGAAAGCATAGGAAGATAGAACTCCATAACTCGATAGGTACTTTTGTACTCAGATTATGTCGCAAGCAATCAAGATAAATATTATAAAAAATATGATATAACATCTGTAGCCCCCGACTCACTACTCAATGGAAGACCAATTGGTGTAGTGAGGCAGAGGAAAAGGAAAAATATCATATAAAGAATAAAATAAATGATGACTTAGCTTTGTAATATTCCCCTTGGTGATGGCGGAAGTGGCCAATGTGGGAACAAAGTCGTCCATCAATAACAATGAAGACACCAGTCGGCGGCGACGAAGGCGGTCGACGGTGAAAGCGAAGATGCCTACTAATGGCGGCATAATAGGTCAGCCGTGTAAGCGGAAACACCAGTCGACGGCAGCGAAGGTGAGCCAACGGTGAGGATGTAGACATCCAACAACGGCGGCATAATAGGCCAGCCGTGTAGGCGGAGGCACCACTCGGCGGCGACGGAGGCAAGCCGGCGGTGAAGTCGTAGACGCCCAACAGCGGCGGCATAATAGGCCAGCCGTGTAGGCGGAGGGACCACTCGGCGGCGACGGAGGCAGGCCGGCGGTGAAGTTGTAGACGCCCAACAGCGGCGGCATAATAGGCCAGCCGTGTAGGCGGAGGCACCACTCGGCGGCGACGGAGGCAGGCCGGCGGTGAAGTCGTAGACGCCCAACAGCGGCGGCATAATAGGCCAGCCGTGTAGGCGGAGGCACCAATCGGCGGCGACGGAGGCAGGCCGGCGGTGAAGTCGTAGACGCCCAACAGCGGCGGCATAATAGGCCAGCCGTGTAGGCGAGGACACCAGTCGGCGGCGACGGAGGCAGGCCGGCGGTGAAGTCGTAGACGCCCAACAGCGGCGGCATAATAGGCCAGCCGTGTAGGCGAGGACACCAGTCGGCGGCGACGGAGTGAATAGGCCAGCCGTGTAGGCGGAGGCACCACTCGGCGGCGACGGAGGCAGGCCGGCGGTGAAGTCGTAGACGCCCAACAGCGGCGGCATAATAGGCCAGCCGTGTAGGCGGAGGCACCAATCGGCGGCGACGGAGGCAGGCCGGCGGTGAAGTCGTAGACGCCCAACAGCGGCGGCATAATAGGCCAGCCGTGTAGGCGAGGACACCAGTCGGCGGCGACGGAGGCAGGCCGGCGGTGTAGATGACGATGCCCATCAACGGTGGTGTGACCAACCGACCGTATAGGCGGGGACACCAGTCGGCGGCGACGGAGGCAGGCCGGCGGTGTAGATAACGATGCCCATCAACGGTGGTGTGACCAACCGACCGTATAGGCGAGGACACCAGTCGGCGGCGACGGAGTGAATAGGCCAGCCGTGTAGGCGGAGGCACCACTCGGCGGCGACGGAGGCAGGCCGGCGGTGAAGTCGTAGACGCCCAACAGCGGCGGCATAATAGGCCAGCCGTGCAGGCGGAAACACCAGTCGGCGGCGGCGAAGGCCAGCCGGTCGGTGAAGACATGGACGCCCATGAACGGTGGTGTGACCGACCAACCGTATAGGCGATGACACCAGTCGGCGGCGACGGAGGCAGGCCGGCGGTGAAGTCGTTGTTGCTATCAGCAATGGCGGTGGCGAGGACAAGCCGGCGGAGTGGACTCGCGGCCGATCGACCGGAAAGCTGAGACGCCTCGAGTCCATGACCAGCATCAATCGCCTCAATAGTGCCGCGTAGTTATATGCGAACAACAACAAAAAATAGCAAGAAATTAATCTGAGATTAAAAATCAATATGATAAATAATGATAAAAATCAGATTGAGTTTCCCCCTGACTGATTTGGATCAAGTCAGAGAAGAGGAGCTTGAAGAAGTGGTCGACGCAAAGGAAGTGAAAACTCCCAAAGCGAAAGCGAAGTCGGCGACTCATGAAATTGATTCCATCGCGCTCGTTGATAGGAAACTCGACGCAACCCCTACCTGGCGCGCCAACTGTCGAAACATGAATTCGGCAATAATAAAAGGAGGTAGCGCACGAGACCTAAAAGTGGATGGATGCAGAGACAAAGGATTTAGACAGGTTCAGGCCCTCTCGATGAGAGGTAATACCCTACTCCTGTTTGGGGATTTGAATCCGCCGGTGTAGTATAGATCTGACGATCAGGTTGTCTCATGCCCCCTAGAGGGCCTCCTGCCCACCTTATATAGGGTGGGGGGCAGGATTACAAGATAGAAACTTTAACCAATACGGTATCGGTTTCCTAAATCAGGACTTTAGGCCGTTCCGTAATATACAAGGAAACGTAACACCCAAGTCATGATCTGTTACATATTACATAGATATAAGTTATCCCCTATAACTAGTCGGATAACCATGCCGTATGGGTATGGGGTACCCATAATATCCACAAGTTCGGCGCCGACGGGCTGCTCATCGGGCCGCCGCTGACCGCCGTGATGGGGGTGTTCACGGGGCCCGACTCCAGCGCCGGCGCCGGCGACCTCCGCGGCGCGCGGTCGCGGCTCGGGCTGTCGTACGCGAGGCGGCCGGACGGGAAGGAGAGCCTGTTCGGCGACGAGAGCAGGGCGGAGCTCGACGAGGTGCTCGTCTTCTGTAGCTCGCAGATCGCGAGCCTGTACTGATCACCATTTTCTCTATAGTGGAGTAGCTCAGAGCTAGAGTAATTAGCTAACTAGCAATTAATTACTCCCTCTGTTTTTCAAATATAATCATCTGTTCTATAGGACATCAACACAGTATTACTTCTTCATTTTTCATACTTCATACTCCCTCCGTTCCCTCCGTTTCAGGTTATAACACGTTTTGACTTTGGTTAAAATTAAATTACTTTAAATTTAACTAAGTTTATATACAAATATAATAATATTCATAATACCAAATTAGTTTCATTAAATCAATAATTGAATATATTTTCATAATAAATTTGTGTTGAGTTAAAAATGTTATTATTTTTTCTATAAACTTAGTCAAACTTAAAACAGTTTGACTTTGACTAAAGTCAAAATGTCTTATAATCTGAAACGGAGGGAGTACATTATAGAACGGTTAGAATCGTCTCTCTCAAATTCAACGTCCCATATCACTCCCACCTCTCCTGTCTCCAAGCACACACCCGCGCACCTCCCCCAACCCTCCCTAACTCTCTCACGCCACTCCCAACCCTAACCCTAATCATGCCTCCAATCATGCTCCATGCTTCTCCGCTATATCATTTTTTGAACGCCATCGCCCATCGATCCCCTCTCCGGCGACCCCACTCCGTCCTGATGAGGAACTAGGTCCCGATCTTCCGATAGATATCGATAACTCTTGATTTAGCGAAAACTTGACACACATGATCCGGTTTCCGATCAACACGATCCGAACCCTGCAATCGCAATACCACGTCTCCTCTGGTAATCAACAGTACACTGTCCGGTTGACATCACTGAGAAGGCTAATTTCTGCATGCGAATCGAAGAACATAAGCAAGAAGCCAAGAACAAGGTAAACTGCAACTCAATTGCATATGAAAATTTAAGCACTTGAATGGGGTTCCACCAACCAAACTAGCGGCAAACCTGTAGTAGCAGAAATAATCTAAGCAAAATCCAACTCTAAATTATGATGGCTACTGAATAAATATGTTTAGGGACATCTTAGGGTTATCCTAAGGGTGCCACCCTATGTCCACGACACAATTAAAAGGTCCAATGTCTAAATCAGACTTGGATTGGATGAGGTATATGGCTTGTTTTGCAGATTCATGATAGATTGATAGAAATTTTGATGTGGGACCAAAACCATATGGAAGTAAACTCCATAAGCTTTCCAACAAGTACTCATGGACCTTGAGATTCCTTCTCAATCAGAGGCTAGGTCCGTTTGAAGTTTATGCTGTCAGGAGGCCCGAATCCGTATCCAAAACATGTAGAACTTTATTTCTTGCCTTCTATTAACCAAAAGTGACATGGTGAGGTAAGAGTAGACTTGGGTAAGATCTTTGTTTGGTCCCCGATCAATTTCTTTGATTACCCAAACACTTTGTGAGCCCACGATCCTTTCCTTCACCCATGCTAGTATTTTTGCAAACGAGAAGATACAAACTCATCGTGCAGTAATGTTTGTTCAAATATGTAGCACATAAATCTCACATAGAAAGCATGCACCTTTAGTTGATAAATACATAAGGTATGCATGATCATATCTGAGCTAGTGATATCCTCGTCATCCTCCCCTTCTAAATTCGAAACCGTGCTCGGTTTCACCATATCATTGAGCATGTTAAACTTATCTTTATTTATCACAAGTTGTGGTAGACTTGATGACCATATGGTTGAATTCTGAAATTTTGACACTCGAAAAACCACAACACTACCCTTCTTACAAACCAACCTATAACTCATTTAAACAACTAGAGAAACTAGACAGAGAATTATTTATGTGCATGCGGTCCTCTAGACAATACATCGCATCATGAAAATGTGGTATATTCAAATTTGAACAAATATATACCCTATGCACATTATACTCTCCTTTATTATCATGAGTGCCAATAACATGAAAAACTACTTGAGGAGGACATGGCAGTTCAAATCTTGCAAATAATTTCTTCTCTAAACAATTGAGTGGACAAAGATCATCAAATTGAATATAGCCCTCTAGTATTTAAAGAAGATAGCAATCTAAGCTCTTCATTCTCGCTAGCAATGTGAATAACATGTTTAAACTCAATACATAGTCGATCAATTACAGAATTAACATGTTTGTTTACCAGTTGTGGCATAGATATAAGTGAAGCATCACACAACTCTCTCCCTTACAACTCGTCCATTGGTCAAAGGGGATTTCTCTCTCACCTGCCATGAGTGGTGAACCACAGTCGAGTTAGCTCAGATACCACTTTGTCACGCCCAGAAATTTAGCCCAAATTTCCAGACTATTTTGTGTATTAAATCCCTGTCTAGGAATCAGCCAGGGTACACAAAACGACAAGTAATAAACAGTTCCAAACGTAAATAAAGCGTAAAATACTTACAGAAGAGGCGCTTAGTCATCACACCGAAAGAGAATGATAGCAGTGGAAAAGGCGATCCTAGTGGGGTTTCAGCTCCACTCCATAGGCAAAACTCAACAGGGGTCTGAGCCTTGGTCCTCTATCTTCGTCTTCAGATCAGAAGCACTACACTTCTGAAAAGGGGGGAACAATAGCAAGGCTGAGTACAACCACCATACTCAGCAAGCCACACCAATGATGCAGACGTGCAAGGGGATACAAGGATGGCTTGTGGCTATTTGCATAAAGACGGTTACAAATCATTTTATTGAGCAAAACAATAAAACAGTTGCGTAATTAAAGTAACATTAAATCTCCACTGATCAACGCTACACCATGTTGAACAGGCCCAACCATTCCCACCTGAACTAATCAGTGCATTGAGTCGATTCATTAAGTGTGAGACAAATCACGGTGATTCTGGTTGATCACCCATAATCGCAGGCACGACTATTCGAAAAGTTTTACTCTGGCCAGAGGTGCACAACTGTACAGACAAGACACAATCCACCGGCATGTCACCGCGCCTGGCCAGACACGTCACCATGTCGAGTGATTGTGACAAGACCCTTCATATAACCCCCTCTGACCAAGCACACAACACCTCAGGTTTCACCCCCACTCCTCAACAGGCAGCGGGCAGTCCCCTCTCGTTCCTAGGTGAATCCGGAAGTGACAAAGGCTGTCACAGGGCCCATCCCGCTCCATCATGCCCACCCTTGCCTAGATGAGTCAGCCAGAGGAAAGCTATACTTCAAGTCAGGTAGTTACCCATTCCCGCTTGTGGCAAGCGCTGTAAGTCTTCCAGTGCATCCCGCGAACCAGTCCTTAATTGCCATGGGTGCGACTAGCAAAACCATGCACCCATAGCCTACCATTCTGTCGCATTTTAGTTGAATAGTTACGACCAATGAAACATGGCCGGATGTCTCGAGCGCGTAGCTCGTCATGATACTAAGGGGTGTAATAATGTAATTATCCCATCATCAGATGCTTAAGCATGGCTAAGCATATAGTTCCAGCTAGGTCATCATAGAAATACAAGCTAGTCGATTTATCACCCAAGGTTGACAAAGGACAGATATCAAATAATATGGCACTAGCAATCAGATAGGTAAACCCTAATCCCATGTAATCAGCAAAACATGCATATTTATTTGTAAATGGTAAAACATTTGTAAAGTAGGCTCAAAATTCTCAAGGGTAATGTGTGACTTTCCTTGCTTCTTCAAAATAATCTTCCGAACACTGATCCTCGCGAACGCGATCTTCCGAAATAGTGAGATCTACACGCTGGCATGCAAAACGAGAAAAAACACTAATAAAAACCAAGTAAACAGTACATGAAAAGTAAACAAACATGTAGATCTCAATTTTGGATGAATTTTGCAAGTTGAATGGCCCAATTTGGATTTCGTATGAATTAGTTATGTTTTAGAAGTTTTGAGCCATTTAAATGAATTTCTATAATTATTACTCGAATTATTGCACAATTTTAAATGAATTGTGATGTCATCCGAGGGATAGGTGGCGTCGGCAAGCGGGCGCCACCTGTCGGTGACTCAAGGGAGACGGGTGCATGGTGGACCGAGTCCACAAGCACGCTGCTCGCGAGCACGCGGCAGCCACGTGGCGGCCACGGCAGACAACGGGCGGAGGTGGCGCCCACGTGGCGCCGCGCGGGCACCGACGCAAGGCCAAGATGGGATGCCACGCGGATGGCCCGGATGGAGGCTGAGGCCGATCCGACGGCCCAGATCGGCCATGGCCGAGACCAAGGGGAAGCAGCCAGCCGGTGGCGGCGAGGGAGCTATGCGCGGCGGGAGCGATAACGACGGCCCGGCCGGACAACCACCAGCGATGGCGGCGCGATACTGGGCAGCCAGCGAAGGGGAGATAGAGGGAGAGGATGGGGTGGTCAACGAGGGGCGGCAGCCAAGAGGGCACGACGGCGAGCGGTCGGGGGGCGGCGGCGTCCGCGGGACCACGGGACGGCGCGGCGGAGCTCCGGCGATGACCGGCGAACGCGGAGGGGTGGCCGGGCTCGCTCGAGACTTGCCAAAAGTGGAGGAGGGGTTAGGAGGGGGAGATATGGCTTGAGGCGGCGGGAATCGCTAGCCGGGGAGGGGAGAGGCGATGGAACTCACCGGCGCGTGAGGGGAATGGAGCTCCGGCGGGTTTCCAATGGCTTGGAGCGGCAACCGGGGTACAACAGGACGCGGCGACACTGTGAGAGGCGGTTGTGTGGCGAGAGGTGATCGGGAGTAGCGCCAAACCGCGGCCGGAGGCGGCAAAAAGGGCGGCGACCTCGGGTTTGCGGTGGGGAGGTGGTTCCGGTGACGAATGGGAGAAATGAGGCGGCGGCCTGGCTTTCCCTTGCAGCGGGGAAGCCGGTGGAGGTTGTCGCGTGGCGTGCCGACGGCTAGGACGGTGACGAGGTGCGGCTGGAGGCGGTGAAGGTGAGGCGGCTCAGGTGTGGTGGTGGTAGTGGTGCTCCGACAATGGACGGGGGAAAGGAGCGGAGCCCGGGGTGCGGCGAGGCACGGCCAAGCCGGTGGTGGCGACGACGCAGTGTGGCGAGGACAGGGGCGGCGGCGGCACGTGGTTGGAGGACGCCGACGGGCGGCGGAGCTCAGGCTCGCGGCAAGGGAGCGGCTAGAGGGCGCAACAGCTTGGGGAAATTGGGGAAAAAGAGAGAGGGAGGTGTGGGGAATGTTTTTATAGCTCCAGGGGGCGAGAGGGAGCCGAGCCAGGGCGAATTTGGACGACAACGGCTAGCGACGTGGGTGGCATCGTGGGGAGGTTGGCGGTGGCGGTTTTCACGGAGCGGGGTAGGCGACGTGGGCGGTGAGGTGGAGGGGAGGGGCGGCATTGTCCGGGCCACACGGGAGAGGGCGCGTGATGCCGGAGGCGGCGGCGACGTGGGCTGCTCGGGCGGCCATGGCGGTTGCTAGCTCGGGCTGGAGGTTGAAGGAGAGCCCGACAGGTGGGGCCCACCTATCGGCGGCTCGGGGAGAGGAGGGGCAAAGCAGACTTCGCTAGCGGGCTAAGGGAGAGAGAGAAGGGAGGCCGGCCCGATGGGAGGGAAAACTGGGCCGAGCCCAAAAAGGGAGGGGAGGGAGAGTTTTTATTTGGTTTTCTTTTTATTTTAATTGAGTTAATGAACTTTGTGACTTTAAAAATATTACTTGAGCTCCGAAAATTCACGGAAAAATTCAGAGAGGTCATTAGGGCACAAAGAATATTACAAAATATCCTGGCCATGATTTTTAAAATAAATTTTTAATTCCCTTTATAATTTCACTTGGTGAAATTGCTTTAAATTTTAATATAATTTCTAGAAATGATTTGTTGATTGATTTTTATTCCCGAACGAAAATCGGGGAGTTACAGATGGGGAAAGCTCTGATTAAGTTTTCTTATGGGGTATTGAGGATGGAAAATGGAAGGGGATGGAAGGCACTTGTGTGTGATGAGATTTGGAAGCGATTTGGTGGCTGAACAAGTGTGGAGGGCGAACCCTAGCTTCGGTGGCGGCGACTGATGAACAGGTGCACGAAAAGGAATTTTCGAGGAAGATGAAGCGGCGGAGAAGACGATACACTATCTCACGTTATTTTTTTAAAAGGTATCAGTGAGTTTTGAACCGATGCTCATTAGCGTTCACAGCCCGAAGTCCATTAGCGTTCGCAGCCTATATTCGGGTGCGACATGCCATGTGTCTTTAGGGACTTAAGCATATTTGCTTTCACAATATGCTCATGGACAGGGCCCAATACCTTTAAAATCCTCCTTTTCTGTTGTTACACAACCTTTTATTTACGAGAGTTGGTACAATGCGATTTTAAGTTAAGCATTGTTTAGCGCAAATTTTACAATGCAGTCGGCCAAGTGCTATGACATTGTTTTTTATAAATTCGTCGGCAGGTGATACCCATAGACCGTATCTTGATGATTTTGGGGTATGTTGGTACAACATCACCATACCATCACCTGTTGTACTGACCTCTATACCCAGAAAATAATGAAGATCTCCCAAGTCCTTGAGTGCAAATTCTTGCCTCAAGTCTGCCAGCAATGCAGTCACTGCTACAATTATATCATCAACATAGATAAGAACAAATATTGTAACACTTCCTTTGTTATAAAAGAACAGTGGCATATCAGCTTTAGATGCTTGACAACCAAGATTAACTAACTTAGTACTCAGTCTTGAGTACCAAGCTCGAGGAGCTTGCTTTAACCCATAAAGAGCTTTGTCTAGTTTGCAAATATAACGAGGCTTACTCTTATTTTCATAACCAGGGGGTTGTTTCATATACACCTCCTCTTCAAGATATCCATGAAGAAGGCATTTTGCACATCAAGCTGACGAAGACACCATCCCCTAGAAAACAACAATAGACAAAACAGATCTGATAGTAGTTGCTTTAACTACTAGGCTAAAAGTGTCCTCATAGTCAATCACATACCTCTGTTTAAACCCCTTTGCTACTAGACGAGCTTTATATCTGTCCAAACTACCATTTGATTTTCTTTTAATTTTGTATACCCACTTGCAATCTATAACATTCTTGCCATGACTAGGTGGGACTAAATGCCAAGTTTTATTTTCCAACAATGCAGTAAACTCAGCATCCATAGCATTTTTCCAACTTTTGTTAGACAAAGCTTCATCTAGATTTTGGGGTTCTCCTGTAGTTGTCAACAGACCATACCTTAAAAGTTTCCTCAGAGTATACCTTTTGTTTTCTTATACCTCAATGGAGATGAGTAGTTGGCCATGTAGGCTGAGCCACAGTCGGATCCGAAGTAGGCACAAAGGATCCTTCACTGCCATCGCCATGATTGCTAGGAATTGGGGACGTGATAGCCGACGATTGATCCCCCTGCTGTTGAGTAAGCGAACCATTGACATCCTCGTCATTGTTGAATGAGAGCGCAGGCGAGTGCGCAAGTGAGGCAGGGGTATCACCCTCGGGATTTGAGCCATCAGAGATGTTGTCTCCGGGATCTTCTGTGAAATCTGGATCTGCTGCATCTTCTTCAAGATTTTCTGCAGTAACTTGGTTATTCTATCCAGTATTTTCAGCACCTTCTTTGGATTGTTCCTGTTGATCTGTCATATGCTCAGAAGACCCATTAGAATGATCAGGAGCATTAAGCCAGTGATCGTTATATTCAACCCCATTAATTGCAACATTTGGATATAAGGAAGGAGGAAGCAAAAGGATTTCAGATCTCAACCTTGCTCCAACATTTTCATGCAACTTTGCAAAGGTCATCAAAGACAACATCTCTAGAAATATAGACCTTGCCAGTTGATATATCAAGACATTTGAAACCTTTGTGAATATTGCTATACCCGAGGAAAGCACATTGCTTTGAGCAAAATTGAAGCTTATGCTTATTATAGGGACGGAGATTGGGCCGGCAAGCACAACCAAAGGTTCTTAAAGCTGAATAATTAGGCTTTTGATCAAGGAGACGTTCTAGAGGAGTAGTATACTGAATGACGTTGTTGGGTATGCGGTTTATGAGATAAGCGGCAGCTAAGAAAGCCTCATCCCAAAATTTAAGAGGCATAGAGGCATGAGCAAGGAGAGCTAATTAACCCAACCTCTATAATGTGTCTATGTTTGTGTTCTGGAAAACCATTCTGTTGATGTGCATAGGAACATGAAACATGATGAGAGATGCCAATCTTTGTGAAGAAGGAATGCAATTTTTCATACTCTCCTCCCTTGTCAGTTTGCATAGAAATAATCTTACGATTAAAAAGGCACTCAACCCATTGTTGGAACATCTCTTGGAACTTAAGAAAGACTTCAGACTTATTCTTAAGTAAATAAACCCAAGTAAATTTGCTGAAATCATCTATGAAACTGACATAATATTTTCTGCCCCCAACAGACTTAGGAGCAAGTCCCCACACATCTGAAAACACAAAGCTCTAAAGGATAGATGACTTTGGATAGGGTCGGATGACTCTTGGCCTGTTGACAGACATTACATACTCCTGACTCATTAACATCTCCTAAACATGGGAGATTATTATTACTAACAACCTTTTGAACAATAGCTAAAGATGGGTGACCCAAGCGATTATGCCACCTTGAAATTGTGGGCTTGATGGCTCCAAGAACTTGCTTGGATGTAGAGAATGAAGATGTTGGCAACAGGTACAGTCCATTGCGGCATGGCCCTCTAAGAAGAAGATTCTTCGTGACCTGATCCTTAATAGCAATAGAATGAGAGTGAACTTCAACAAAGGCATGGTTATCAACGGCTAAGCAATGAGCAGAGACATGGTTCATTTTAGCTTTAGGAACATGGAGGATATTTCTCAATTGAATATTACACATAGGGGTATGAATAATAGAGTGACCAACATGCTTAATGTCCATACCTGCATAGCTTGCCGTATGAATTTGTTCTTTGCCGTTGTACTTCTCATGCGTCGTCAGCTTGTCCAACTCTCCCGTGATGTGATCGGTAGCTCCGGTGTCCATATACCAATTTGCATCGACACCATAGGAAGCCGCAGCTGCTGTTTTTGAATTTGGAATGAAATTTTCATCATACCTATACCAACAGTCTGCTACAACGTGTCCAATCTTGCTGCGCAGCTAACAAGTCGGGCATGGTTTGTTGGAGAAGTGCGCGCCTCCGTTTCCTCTCCCCCGGCCACCGCGATCACCATAGCCTCCGCTGTTGCCACGAGCGCGGAAGGAGTTGGTGTTGCCGAAGGGGCTGTTGTCGGTGAAGCCGTCTCCCTTACCTCCATGCCTTGCGCTGTTGACGGAGGATCCGTTCGCCTGTTGTCGTAGCTTGGCTCGGCTCTCAAAACTGGGAAGCTGAGTATAGATCTCAACAACTGGAATTGCCTCCGCCTTGCCGACAAGGGAAGAGACGACGGGCTCGTAATCATTGTCCAGCCCAGTGAGGATGTAAGACATCATCTCCTCATCGTCGAGAGGTTTGTCGGCAGATGACATCTTGTCAGCCAGCGTCTTCATCTTGCCAATGTACTCCGTTACACTTAGATTGTCCTTGTGGGTCATGGACAGCGCAAGACGTGTGTTCAACGCACGCGCACGGGATTGTGAGGAGAGCATTGTCATGATTGCACTCCATGTCTCCGCCACCGTCTCCAGATTGACGACCTGAGTGAGGATATCCTTCGATACAGATGCAAGGAGGAACCCAAGCATCTGTTGATTGGCAACAACCCACTCCTCGTAGGCAGGGTTGATCTTTGTGACGACTTTGTCGCCCTCCTTGACGTCGACTTCCGTTGACGGTGCGCGTTTCGCACCGGTGAGGTACCCCTCCATGCATGCGGGCACCACGGATCATAGGAAGGATCTGTGTTTTCCATAGCATGAAATTATTCCTTGTGAGCTTCTCCAGAACAGCTTGGCCAGAGAGCGGATTGGTGGTGGAATTGGAGGAACTCGCCATTGTGGTAGATGTGATCTTATGCGTGGGTGTTTGGCTGTGATACCATATATATGTGAATTGGCAGAAGTGTTCTCACCTCGTTAGAGGTCGCTGTACGTGTTAATATATGTTTGGGAAAAGCTCCCAAAGTGGCGCATACAAAGGAGGAGATAAGACTCAAAAACAGAAATCTATCTCTAATTCTATCTTATTATCTCATGCGCATTATCACATGTAACAAACTCTTTCTAACACTGTGCGCCTATCTCCTGCGATGCACTGGTTGCCTGCCACCTGCTGTTGCTCTGAGCAGCCCGCTCAGAACCTCCTTGAGCCCTTCCCTCTTCCTTGGTCATAGTGAAAAAAGAGAGAAAAGAAAGCTGGAAAGCTGGAACAACAAAAACAAACTACGATGATTAGATTAGTGAATCAAGCAAGATGAATGTGGCCAGATCGGCGCACGCACAGCATAGCAACAATTATGCTGTACTGCCTGAGTGCTTAAAAACAAGAGTAAATTTCAGAAAACTGCAACTTTAGTAACAAAACTATTAGTTTGCTACAACATTAGCGATATGTTTTAGTTTACTGCAACAATAGCGTGAAAAATTATCACAAAACTGCAACTTTTACGTTATACTAGTTGGGTGCCCGTGCGTTGAAAATGGAAAAAAAATTAATACGTTAACATCAAATCGCACCGGCTTATTTCTATTGTATATCGTTGGTTTACAAATACAAATAGCTAAGCCACAGGTATAAGAAGGGATCATATAAAATATATTATCCAGATTGTATGAATTTAGGTAAAAAGAAAGAAAGAAAATACAATTTTCATTTACCATGGGGTGTATGCCATTAAAAAAAAGAAAAAAAGGATTTGAGTACAGAGGACCATGGGTGATGATCCATAAAATCCAGTTCAGTATAGAAAAGCCTGTATCTTTATTTAGTTGTACATGCATTATCTCATAATCTTGCAAGATTATGCTCGATCAATCTTATTGGATAGTTGTACATCCGCATTTGCTGAATCTGATTCTGCTTTAGCTTCAGACTAACAGGTCATGAATATTGATGTAATACAGTTTCTTTGGTTGATCAAGTTCAATGAAAAAACACTTAAGAAATGTCAAAAAATCCCCAACTACATGTTGTGCACCAAAATGCCAGATCTGAACATCAGTTTAAAGCCAAAAGATGGATTCAATTCGGGTTTTAGTTGAGCACCTGCTATCAAAACATCCTACCTCTGCTGCTCGCTGCTCTACAGAGTTCTTCAAGTCAGCGAAAATTTATTGATTAAAAGCGTGCACGTACAAGGCACGCTAACATAAATTGATTGAGGTAAACTGAAGAAAAGTACATCCATTGCTTGAGTCAATTGAGTTAAAGTTTCTAAGTAAAGAATACAATTAAGCAAGAGGGGATTAAAAAACTTAATCAAGCCATTTGTAGCCGCTAACCTTTCAGACCATCGAAGAACACAAGCTTCCTACTCATCTAAAATATGTTCTTTTGAGCCAGGTTTGCACAAAGAAAGAATAAGAATGTAGCATCAATGTGTCAAATCATAATACTCTTATCACTAAATATGATCATCGTGTTGTTTTCAGAAAATGAGAAAAGTACCCGTTGACCTAGAAGAATTACCCTCCACCACCATATAGTAGAATAAATACCTACTTAATTTGATCCTGATATCCAGCAGTGGCAAAGAACACATATTGGTAACCTGTTAAACCTTGGAACCATAGTACCATACACCATGGTCCATGGAAGAGAAAGATAATATGTTTTTAATGCATATATGCTTGATTATGTTTTTAATGCATGTATGCTTGATAATAAGTCAATAGTTAACCTCAATTAATTTTGCAACAGTAACTCCCTAGTATGCACATGACATTCTTACAATTCCTACCTGTTCTGTAACTCCCTAGTACATCTTGTATCAGGTATCTGCAATCGAATGAAGGTTAATAATAAGATTATTTCTGGTTTCCTTCATTTCCTATATATCATTTCTCCAAAAAATTGAAAATACCCATGGAGTAAGAGTAACTATGACTAACCAAAGCAGGCACTTCCAGAGATGTTTTTCCTCATAAAATTAGATTATTCATCCTTATGTTCAGCATTTCAGCAGGGGTTGGAAACAGCATGGTTGCATGAAACTCTGCAAAAATATCATATTAGAATGAATTAATTTTTAGGTAAATAACAAATTAAATGTTAATCAAGCTGAATCATATAATTTTTTTTAAAGGAGCACATGCTTACAAAGTGGATAAGAAAAGCATGGCACATGGACTGTGTGGCTCAGCTCTCATTCTGCAGCATTGCAATTTGCACATCATTGACCATTGCACACAACCTATCATATTAAAAAGGTTAACTCATACTGAACAACAAACATTTTCTTTGTATACAATTCAATTACACAAAAATGCAATGGAAATATATATATATGCATGCTGAAAAAAACTATTGATATATTCAAGCTGCATTTGAATGGATAAAGTATTTACTTGTATTGTAAATTGAAAGTAAGGCACAATATCATATCCCACATCACATGTTGTCAGTTGGAGATGCATACATGAAAGCCTCAAGCAAATAAATATTATATTCTCTGAACCTTCGATTCCCACAGTTCATAAATCAGTTAAATGGTCAAAACTACATTGTACTTGATTGAAATAGCTCTTAAAATACAGATGGACAAAAGTTATAGCAATTGTAAATATAACACCATGCAACAGTTCTGTTATAGAATTGATAAATATATCACCATGTCACTACCGTCCCCTATGGTAGTGGCACCACATACAGTCAAACACACAATAAATTTGTATAGTCTCATATGCAAGGAAATCAAATGATCAATTACCTGAAAGACTGTAGAACTTGCCTAAATGTGACCTTCTCCTGGAGCTTGAACTCTAGCTGCTTGCCAGGAAAGGAAAAAAAATAATTAGCTGTAGCTAAATGTAAAAGAAAATTTTTAAATAGCAGCTGCAAGAGAAAAGCTACAGTTTGGATGCCTATAACTGAGCTTTGATGCAATAAGTATTACTAAAATCTTAGTTAAGACAGTGGCATCCATTTCATGATAGACCATACATATCAGACTTGACTGTTTGCTTTTGTAGCATGGCCAGACATTACCCTGGTACCTTGCCTGCCTAAAATTATTTCAGGGTACCTGTGCATTTCAACACGATAATTTATTATTGTTTTTTAGTGCAATCACAATGCAAATCCTGTTGTAATCAGGATAGTAAACTTATTGCCCACAATTTCCTTGTTGCCCATAATCAGGAGACCTAGGATGCCAATGTGATCCATAGCTACATTTGGTTCATATCACAATTCACAAATGAGAATATAATTCCATGATAGATTTCATTAAAATCGTTTTCATCCAAAAGGGAATATAGACATATATACTGAAAACCATATTATATAAACTAACATAACCAAAAACAAGAATCATCCTACCATGTTTAGTAACAATATTGGTCGAAGCGAAGCGCTTTCAGTTAGAAAAAAATGCCTCTTTCCTGATCACCATCCTTTTTTCAACGCATATGTTGCTAGGCAGAAGATCTCCGAGAGCCGAGAGAGTAGCCACATTACTTCTTCCTAAAAGGAAAGAAATAGCTTGCAGGTAGATTGATCTCATATGGCAGGGATGGGAGGCGGCGTTGGCATCATGAACAGAAACTGTATATGGTCAAGCATTTCATCAAACACATGAAGGTCATAGATAATTTGTGCACAGAGAACACATCAATGAACCGAATTAAACCCTAGTCCTTCAATCTCTCAGAAATAAGCATCAAGAATTTCGTGATAAGACACACAAACCGTGGACTCCTTTTGGGGTTCAGATGTTGAATCTTCTGCCCTGCTTGTCAAGGGCACGCAAGAAGGATGACAGGACGTTGGCACAGAATACTCTAGCCTCTAACAGGGTAGCTGCAACAGGATGATCAGAAATTATTGCCTAAAGAAAAGGATCGTCCAGGAGCATGGGCACAAAGCAATGTACCTGATGGTGCCGTCTACCTTCGGTGCTGCCCCCTGCTCCTGGCCTTGGGAACGGAGGTTGTATTGCAGGTCGGGCGTCGGCGGGGCTCGTGCAGGCGGCGGCAGTGAAGTCGCGCTGTAAGCAGCGGCTTAGGGCATGCGCAGGCAGGGATGGCGAAGTCGCACTGTAGGCGACAGCCTTGGGTGCCCGCCGGCGGAGGCTTGATCGCAGGTTCACAGTAGGGGTGACAGGAGGCGGGGTGGCATGCATAAGCGGCGGCGATGGCCTGGTCACGCCACTCTTGTCAGATCAAGTAGCGTTCCGTCTACCGTGGCTGTCGCCGGGCACCAACGCCGCCAGCCTTGCCACTACGGCACTACCTGCTCCCAATCCATCGCCGCAGAGGGCTCGTGTTTTTGTTCTGTGCCATTCAATTCCGGGGAGGGGCAGCGGGCGGCGGCTAGGATCTGTCGAGGGCGAGCCGGCGTGATGGAGACCGTGAGGCGCGATGGGAGGGCTTCCGGCGGCGGGAATCGGTTGAGGGCGCCGCGGGGATCGGTCGATTGCGTGCCGAGGCAGGGATTCCGGCGGCGGGGATCAGTCGAGGGCGCGCCGACGTGATGGAGAGTTGGAGACCGGGAGTCGGGGAGGAGACGACGACGATGGGGGCGCCGGTGGTGGAGACATGTCGCGGCGAGGAGGGTGTGACGGGAAGGAGACAACGGCGATGGAAGCGCCGGCGGTGGAGGCGTGTCATGACGATAAGGATGGGGCGCGGCGCGAGGTGATGGCGGCGATGGGGGCACCGGTGGTGGAGGCGTGGAGCAGCGGCGGGTGTGGGGTGGAGGGGGGCGAGGTTTTGGATTGGGGTGGCGCTTATTGCGGAATGCGATCCGTAGGAATTGCGCGACGGTGGTGCGGAGGAGGAGCGTGCGCCGTTTTTTTTTTGCTCTGAACGTGTCGAAGTACGTTTGTATATTGGATCGCGTGTCTACGTTGGCTTCACCATCACCACTATGAATTTTTTAAGTAGTAGAGAGTAGAGATGCTGCAACAATACATATAGGTGACAATTGTAGCAGTATATAACGTAAACGTTATAGTTTTGTGATAATTTCCCACGCTTTTGTTGCAGTAAACTGAAACATGCCGCTAATGTTGCAGCAAACTGATAGTTTTGTCACTAAAGTTATAGTTTTCTGATATTTACTCTAAAAACAAATATGCATGCTTGTGATGAGTTAATGAGATTGGATTGATGAGGAGAGAGAGTACGACCTGAAGAACTTGCTTGCATGTGGCAGCTGGTGAGAGGACCATATATATCCCACAGTCCAATGATCCGTGAGAGCGAGAATATAGACACCCTAATGATGAGTTTGTTTTCTTAAGGGGTGTTTGAGAGAGAGGGATAAACGACGGTGCAAGTGTTTGCGGAATTGCGGCGCACGGCGGCACCGGAAAAGCTAATACGCGAACAGTTTTTGTTTTTTTCCGGTTTTTTCGTTTTTTCTTTTTTTTTCTTTTTTTCCTGGTTTTTATTTTCGGTTCTTCTATTAGGCATGTATACAAACTATGTATACATATATATATAAACTTTATATACATATGTATACAAACTTTGTATTCATACGTATACAAAGTTCTCTCTCCTCTCTTCCAACTTACTACATGTGCACTCTCAAATTATCAAAAAAGGTAATTCAGCATATTGATCGAACTAGAAGGCATTATCTTTGGAAGAAATCAAATGACCCTAATGCTAAGGTGCATTCATTAGCAGCTTGGGATCTAGTTTGTCAACCAAAGAAAAAAAAGGGGACTAGAAGTCATAAATCTGGAACTACAAAATATTTCAACAAAATGGAGTTGCCCAGGGTAGACCTAATCTGGAACAAATATTATTCACACTCCAACATGCCACCCCATGCACACATAGGAAAGGGTTTTTTCTGGTGGAAGGATGTGTTTAGGCTAATATACCAATTTTCAGAGCCATTACATCTGTTGCTATTGGCCATTGGAGACAGCTCTATTCTGAAAAGACAACTGGAATGGCAGAATCTTGCAAGAAGAATTGATCATTCTGTTCTCACTTGCAAAGAATGAAGATATTTCTTTCGAGGGTTTCAAAGAACTGGTTAATCTGGAGTAAGCTTTTCAACCCCCCCCCCCCCCAAAAAAAAAAAAAAACTACTCAAGCAGTTCAACAATGGCAGCACCTGAGCAATACTTTACATGAATTGAATTTCGGTAATCTCTTGGATCAGTGGACATATCATTGGAATTCAAATCAATATCAATCAAAAAGAGTTTATGATCTGTTCTTCGCTCATATTCAACCAGAAGTTCCCATCACCCTTATCTGGAAAAGCAGATGCACACTCAAATTGAAAGTTTTGTTTGGTTATTATTAATGGATAGGTTAAACACAAAGGATCTGCTACCAAGAGAACACTTCAACACCCAAGGGGGAATCAGATGTGTTACATGCAACACATTAACCACAGATGATTCTTTGCATCCCTTTTTCACTTGCCCCTGTGCTCAACAGTGCTGGCACTTCGTTGTCATAAACTGGAACATAAGTTTGAACTTCATGAATATGATATCTACAGCAAAAAGTAGCTTCTCCCACCCTTTCTTTATAGAGCATAAGAAATGATCTCATCTTTAACGATGTGTAAGTGCATTTTGGTAAATGGAAATCACACTTCAAGTATGAATTTACTTTGCATTTGCATAGAGTAAAAGAAGCAGATAAACCAATTTGGCAATCATGGATACACAGTTTATTTTAACCCCCTTGTAAATTCCCCTTTGTTGTATTTTTTTCTCCCCTCCCCTTTGTAAATTTGTTCTCTGTTTTGCCTTATTAAAGCACAGTAGTCTCTCTCTCTCTCTCTATATATATGTGTGTGTGTGTGGGGGGGGGGGGTAAGACTATTCTACACCCGGGGTATAGAATAGTTATTCTATACCCCTCTCCCTCCCTCCCGATCCCCTCCCTTCTCTCTCTCGCTCCTGATCCCCCCCTCTCTCGCTCCCCCTCCCTTCTGTCTCTCTCTCGCTCCCGATCCCCCCCTCTCGCGCTCCCCCTCCTTCCCTCCCGATCCCCTCCCTTCTGTCTCTTTCCCAATCTCTCTTTTTTTATTTCATTTTTTTCTTTTTTTTTCTCCTTGAAACATTTTTTTCTCTTTTCTGGAAAAATAAAAAATAAATTGCCAAATTCAAGACTAACCCATGACCTCATAGTTCAAAGCACATTCTTCTAACCAATTCATCTAATGATACTATTTGTTTTAAAAATTTTATGAGAAAGAAATATGATTATCAATTCTAATATCTTTCACTATCGAAACTCATAACATATTACTATGCTCTAGTAGTAACATTGTTGTAAAAGTACAGTAACATATGACGTTACTGTATAATACATAGGACATTACTGCAATAATGCAGTAACGTCATAGTAAAATTGTAATAGACCAAGAACTAAAACAAAAATATATGGGTTAAAGCTTCACATGCTAACAATATACTTGTTACTGTATGAAAGTAGAAGTGTTACTACATAATAGACGCATATTACCACTTCCAAGTAGCTATGTTACTGCACGATAATTATAGTTTTACTATGTCATTTTTACAAGATGAATATTGAATAGGTGGGCTATAGGTAAAGTCTGTACGTGGCTTTGAGTGAGGTCTGATTGATGTAGGAGTTGTTTGAACAATTTTATACATTTTGTAAAACCATGTTAATGCATGTATATGCCCTTGTTACTACAAGTTACACATTCTGTTACTGCATGTGGAGGGTTAAAGTTCAAAATGCCAATATTTGAAAAGCAATATCTCACAAGATATGTATTATTTTTTAAAATCATTCCCACCATGAAGCTATAGTGTTACTGCATGTGGAGGGTTAAACTTCAAAATGCATCTACGTACTCCCCTCTTCAAGAAACCGTTCTTCCTCCCTCTTCTCAAGAAAATCGGTCTCCTCCCTCGAATATAGTGTTACTGCATGTATATGACGTTACTGCACTTTTGACAGTAATATTGTGGTGAATTACAGTAAATCAGGAATTGAAACAAAAATATATAGGTTAAAAGTCTCAGATGCTAATCATATACTTGTTACTGCACAAAAGTAGAAGTGTTACTGCACGGAAGGTATACGTTACCACGTGTTTATGCAGTAACACTACCCAAAAAATACAGTAAAACGCAGTGTAGTAACATCGTGATGCGATTGTAGTAACGTACAACAGACAAGTAGTAACAAGCAATAGTATAGTATTACTACTTGTGGAGAGACAAATTGCAAAACTGTCAAACTTTGAAGAACAATATCTCCCAAGTGATGTAAGGTTTTTAAAACCGTTTGCACCATGATGCTAGAAAAAAAGAGCTTATCAAAAGTAGATCCGTCATGACTATGTTTCAACTATATTTTAACGCTGTTACTGCACGTAAGACACAGTGTTACTGCATAGTGGTCGTCGAGTTACTGCACCGTCCTGGGACGAGAGCTGAGAAGAGGTGGGTGGTGGGGGGAGTTAGTAGGCGGGTTTGACCGGTGGGAGGGGCCTTTGACCGAGGTGGGAGGTGGGTTTTGGGCCTTTGGTAAGGAGGGTGAGGTGGGTGTGACCCTTGGAAGGAAGGGGGTATAGAATAGCTATTCTATACTCGAGTGTAGAATAGTTATATATATATATATATATATATATATATATATATATATATATATATATATATATATATATATATATAACAGCTCTACTCTACACCTCCCCCTTAGAATAACTATTCTACACTCCCCTCCCACCTAACCCATCTCCTCCCATAGTCCCAGCTCCCAGCCCATCCCCCCTCCCTGTCACGTCGTCACGTGTGGCCCGTCCCTCCTCTCCGCTCTCCCACCTAACCCATCTCCTCCCATAGTCCCAGCTCCCAGCCCATCCCCCCTCCCTGTCACGTCGTCACGTGTGGCCCGTCCCTCCTCTCCGCTTTTTTCTGCTCCTCCTCCCCCTCCCGATATCCTCCTCCCAATCTCTCTCTCCCTCCTTGTTTTTTTTTGTTTTTTTACGCCTTCCCCTCCCGATCTCTCTACTCCCGGCGCCCACCTCCTCTACATTTTTTTTTCTTTTTCTTCATTTGTTCTATCCCTCTCATCTCTCTCTCTCCTATCATTTTATTTTTTTATAAAAATTAAAAATAAATTGGTGAAATCAAGAGTTGAACCCATGATCTCATAGTTCATGGCAAGCTCTCCTAACCAATTCATCATGTGACATTATGTGAATAGAAAATATTGTTTGCATGCTTTGTATGTTCAAATTGTGTGAGAACAAATCAGTTATGTTACTACAAGAACCATACCTCGTTATTATGATTCGGCAGTAACATTATCATAAAAGGGGAGTAACATGATTACTGCAAAATTTATAGGTTGTTACTGCACTTTTGGCAGTAACAACATTGCGGAATTTGCAGTAACAGAGAACATGCATAGTAACAGTGGTACTACAGTAGTAATGTTTCTTTAGAGAGCATGGTGGAATTTGCAGTAACAGAGAACATGCATAGTAACAGTGGTACTACAGTAGTAATGTTTTTTTAGAGAGCATGGTGGAATTTGCAGTAACAGAGAACATGCATAGTAACAGTGGTACTATAGTAGTAATGCATAGTAAATCTCAATCTTTAGAGAGCAATATCTCTCACGTTATATATTATTTTTCTAATCCATCTACACCATAATATTCGTAAAAAGTGCTTAACAAAACTAGATCCATCATGACTATTTTTTGATGTCGTTACTGCGAGAAAGTTGTCCTGTTACTGCACGATGACTGTTCTGTTACTGCGGAATTCCTGTGAGACGAGGACAATAAAGTGGTGGGCGAGGGAGGGAGTCAATGGGCGG